AGCTATACCTTCATCGGACAAATCACTCTGCCCAGCTTCATCGCCGAGATGAAAGATCCCCGTGACTTTTGGAAGTCCGTAACAGTCGTGACAATTGCCGAGATCATCGTCTTCAGTCTCGTCGGCTCGATAGTCTACGTCTACACCGGCTCTCAAACAGAGTATATGAAAGCGCCGGCCTTTGGTTCCATCTCCAACGAAGTATACAAAAAGATCTCATTCTCCTTCATGATCCCAACAATCATTTTCCTCGGTGTCCTATACGCATCCGTCTCCGCGCGCTTCATCTTCTTCCGCCTGTTCGAGGGAACGCGCCATAAGAGCAACAACACGGTCATCGGATGGGCCGCCTGGGCCGCCATCCTGGCCGCGCTCTGGGTTGCAGCTTGGATTGTCGCGGAGGTCATCCCTTTCTTCTCGGACCTGTTGTCTATCATGAGCTCCCTGTTCGATTCCTTCTTCGGTTTCATATTCTGGGGCGTGGCGTATATTCGCATGCGCAGTGCTGATCATGGTCCGCGTTTCTTCATGGAGCGTGGCATTCGCGGCTGGTGCGGATTCATCTTCAATGTCCTGTTGATTTGCATTGGTCTGTTTTTCCTGGGACCTGGTACCTATGTGAGTTTTGCCCATTCCTCCCGCCCTCGCGGTTCCCTTTTTGGGATTGCTTACTAACCTATCTTCTCTCGCTATTAGGCTTCTGTCATGGCCGTGGTCACCAGTTACCAAACTGGTGCAGTCGGTGGTGTCTTCACCTGCGCCGACAACGGTTCGTAAAAAGAAAAAGAAACGAAAAACGAAAAACAACAATCAACCCTGCGGGGCGGGGTTTTACTCGCAGCATAGTCTGCCATGCATCTGAACACTTTTATCTTCTATCTCGAGATCTCATGTGATGAACTTGAAATCGGGATGGATATTTATGACCTGATGGCCTGAGAGAGAGGCCGGCCATTACTCTGCATTTGATGAAATTCCTCATATTTCTCCCTTTTTATGAGTTATTTGGACTTTTTATATACCAAACTGCCGTGACGACGGTATGGATTGCTTCACATTGGAGGTGGAGACCATTGGAAATCCTGGAAGAGAGAGATGATTTTTGTACTATTTACAGAGATTCGGGATGTTTGGACTTGTCTTGTATTTTTTTTGCTCCCCCAGCATCCCATTGCACATAATTGCGGTCTTGAATTGACTTGGCCGGATGACCACGGGCAAGCTGTTCCTTCCTGGAGTTGATATATTCCCACTCTTACACCTGGGCAGCTCCACGTTGCCCTGTCCATCGATATTCACCCCAACTAATACCCTCAACCATCACCGTATCTTGCCAAAGGCCAGCCACACTTGGGCTTACTATAGACGGCAATCAGTTTCTCCTTGGTTCTTATTACAGCCTGCTGTCTGTCATCGAGTATTTGACATGATAAGTAAGACTCTCTATCCGTTCTATCGCGAGCGACTCGATGTGTGTTCCCTCCCGGCCGCAGAATGCATACTCAATATCCAACCTGGCCGCAGACTGTCCCCTTGGTACATGTGTGAAGGACAATGCCTCGATCCTCTGCCATATGGGGATTTGTTCCATGCACTGGACCGTTTGTCCTTCCCCACCCACACCCTCTTCAATTTCGATTATCTGCTCAACCACCCTGGCAGTAGTGATGCTATCCCAAGACGCCTCCCGTATTAATTGGCGTCGCAAAATACCCAAAACCTCATGGCGGACAATGGGGTGACGGCACTTGGCCCCGATTATGTAGAGAATGGGGATAATTCCGATCTCCGGCGTAAAAGTCGACCTTGATGACCCCGCATACCGTTGATGCGCCGCCGCTACCTCGCTTGCCAATGCAACACATTGCTGGAACTGGGGTAGGAAATTGTCATAGTCCATTTCTCCTCCGGGCCCGTGACTACTGAGGAGGATCCATGCGATAGTATGTTGTAAGCGTAGGAGTGATATGAGACGGTCAGTTTCAAAGACGGACTCAGAGCGGTTGCCTCGCAGGAGCTTTTCGAAGAGACTCGACCACGTTTCCAACTGCCCGAGTACCATGTCCTTGAGTGAAGAAGGTAAAGGCGGCATTGTCGTCGTCGGGGCACTTTGTTGTTCTGTGTTGCGCAGCCACATTACCTGAGAAACGAGAATTTGGAGGTGGTCGGCGGCTTGATCGAGTGACCAAAAGGTACTGTGGAAGAGTGTAAGGTGGGACGTGAATGGCTCTTGGATGTTGGCTGGAGTCCAGTCGACCAGAAACATGCCGGCCTGCATATCGAGACGGCGAATCTGTTTTGTGACCTGGCCGATTATCGCGTGAAATCCTGATGGTTGGGCATCGTGGTAGGTATAGCTGTACATTGTAGAGTTATCAATGCTGCGTGAGAGTTCGACACCTCCACGGAGGTGCTTCACTGCTTGCACATCGTCGCCGACCAGATGATCAAAGCAGGTAAAGAGATAAGAGACCAAGAGAGTGATAGCTGTTATTTCAGCGCCGTCACCACTTTCCGGATTCAGCAGAAGTTGAATAGCGCGGTTATAGTGAAGCAAAGAAGTCTTGTCTAGTAGTTGGTCTTTCAAAAAATACGGTTCATATACCATATCATTAGAATGGCGATTCAAGTACTTTCGGTGAATCATTGCCAGAGCAGTGGCAGCATGCCGCACTGATGGCACCGTTTGGGAGAAAAGCATCAGGGTCTTCCGCCATGATTCGCAAGGACGATATTCATTCAGATGCTTGATCGAAATATCCTCGAAAAAGCACATTGCCTCCGCCTGGGTTGACCCCGTCACTGGTAAGATCATTAAGGATCCGAGATTCTGCGAAATGAGATGATGATATTTCGAGTGCCATCGCTTTGACTCGTACGCACTGATCGTAGTACATGGGTGGTAACTGTCGTATCTATCTCTATCGGCGCTCTCCTTGTGATTATGAGCCGGTTTAATTTCGATCTTCTCGGTCTTGCAGGCGAGGGGCATTGCACCATATCCATCGCAGATGCGACCGGTAGAGAGGCATTTCAAACATGAAGGCTGAGATAGATCGCATTTAACTCGTCTTATCCTGAGAAATGTCAGTTTCGAAGTCTTCGAGCACAATTCATCGCTCTGGTCAAGACATACTTGCAAGTCTTACAGCCTAGTCTTGACTTTGGAGCGAACTTGCGAGGCCTTTTTCTCCAGGCCTGCTTGGCCGTCTTTTTTTCGGCCTTCATCCCATCCATCACGGTGATATGAGCTGGCTGATATTGACAGAGAACGTTTCAGACAGGGATCAATTCAAATACCATCACTACCATTAAGCTACCACCTGTTTGCAACGGCTTCCAAGGGAATTAATGTAGTACTGACGGAATTTCAGGACGATGATCAGTTCGTCGCTCCCAAGGGGTCATTGCCTCATCTTTGCGGTGGAAAGCCGAGTGAGAGAAGATGAAGGGTATGGAGTACAAAAAAGCAAATATTTTAGAGAGACTGCGCTTGGTGGGCAGGTTCCTACAAGCGGTGCACTTCAACAGGAGATTCCAAGGAGGGAGGATTGGAGTAGCCTGGAAGTAAGCAAATGTAGACGTACGAGTAGTCTAGCGCGCTTCATACTAAGTATTGATTGGCTGGTTCGTACACGCATGACCCCAAGAAAGGAAACCGACCTGCATCACCTTACTTTCTAGAGACTGGTGCACAGATAGTGGGCTATTACTGGCCTACTCGTACAAGTGGGGCTAGGACCGCGAGCATGGGAATTCACTATTTTGGATCAGGGTGGGGCTAATCTAAGTAGTCATCTTTGTATGTCTGTGTGCTAAAGATGAAAGTATCCATGCAGACAGGAGAATCAATCTTGATTGGAACGTGGAGGAAAGCCGCGGACCCAGCACTACGCTTACTAGAAGGACAAGGTCCTGCCCCCCACACCGTACATAGTCGTACATAGTCGGTTGGTTATACGGAGCATATGAGAAAGATCCCCAGAACATGAATTCAGAAGCGCCTTTCCATCTCGGCTGAATCTCATTTTTTAAGAATCTTTCCTCTTTTGCACGCCAAACTCTGTATCCACCTCGACGATGGAGAAGAACCACAGATCTTTCATCAGTCCAGATTACATCTTTAAAGTTTTCTAGATTCCAACGATGGTGGGCAAGAGCAAATGCAAGCCGCTGTGACTTCATCGTCTGTGTCAATCCAGGCTTCCGAGTTGGTTTCGTCTTCCGGAGACCTGCTTCTTTCAATATAAGGCATATTGTCGTTGCAGATTTCAAAATATCCTTGGAGCTAAACCCACCGGCCAAATCAGCACAGCTTTTCTTTTTTTCTTTTGTTTTCCGCCAATACCAATTAAGGCGTACCATTGATAGTACTTGCTTCTGAGAAGCCTCTTGCTTTCTAGGTCGGCCAGAACGAGGGGCATCTGCAAGAAAGTGGTCATGTACCACCAATGGGCGATGGGATGGGTCAAAACCGCGTCTAATTGCACGCGCGTATATACTTCGTAGCGTCCGAATAGTTATATTTAGAAATTCGGAAACCTGGGCAAAGGTTTGACCTGTGGCAACGAGGCCAATAGCAATGGCGGCGTTGTGGAATAGTAGTAGGCATATTGGTAGTATTGGTAGATGAAAATAGGGGTGAGATGGCGGGGATGGTTTAAAAAAGCAAATTTCAGTAATAAAATTAGTATTAGTACACTAGTATAACTACACTAGTAATTAAATATGGAGCTGGGTGCGCAGGGACTTTTTGAATGGGCCTCCGTACTTGGTGGTCAAAATATCAATTGGCTCGTTCGTACAGGCGGAGCGGAAAGTGATTATATGCAAGAACAGGTATCGTGAGTTGATAGAAATAATTCAGCTGCCTACTGAAACCGTCACATTTGACACTACTATCTAAGGGAACTCAATCCTTATAAATACTAGTAGTTCCCAGGTATCTCGATATTGTCGGCCTTGCAAGCAACTTGAACTAAACTAAACGATCAATTAGACAACCCCAGGAATTTACCATGAACCTACTTGCAAATACCCTCATACCTCTCATGAGCTTGGGATTGAAAGCTCACAGTTTAAATGATCGGGGCATGGCCTATGGATTCGATAGTGTGAGTATGGGACTCTGCGGTATCACATTGCCCGAGGGTTTCAAGACTTTTTTTTGACGTGGCATCCAGATTGAACCATCAGCCGACCTCACATGGACGCCATGTTTCGACACCTTTAATTGCTCTAGACTGGAAGTTCCCTTGGATTATTCAAACAGAAGCCTTGGCACGACATCCGTTGGCTTTATCAAGTTGACTGGCAAAAATGCCACCGTCGAGTCTCCTAGCATTGTACTCATTCCCGGTAAGATTTCATTCCTATCCATCATGCGACATTTGTGAGCTTCATTTGACCGATATTTTGTTAGGCGGTCCCGGTGGTTCTGGTATCAACCTACTCCTCACATACCAGAATATCATTGGTCAGATGTTTGGAGAACAGTACAACTTCGTCTCCTTTGACCCTCGTGGTGTGAACAACAGTGGTTTGCATCTCGATTGTTTCTCGGGAGACGCAAAGGCAAGGTCCGCTTTCTATCAACTGCATAGAACAGGCGTCACCAATATCTCATCAATATCGCTTGAGGAACAGTACTATTCAAGCTCTATCTATGGCGATTGGTGCAACCATGCCGTCGAGAACAATTCATCCCATTCATATTATGTGACTACGCCAGCAGTTGCCCATGATTTGCTCGCGTTTACTGAGGCTGAGGCTGAAATGGCCGGTAAACCACCATCAACTGCCAAATTGTGGTGCTATGGCGTCAGTTACGGCACTGTTATCGGCAGCACTTTCGCTTCTATGTTCCCAAACCGTGTCGGGAGAATGATACTCGACGGTGTTTTAAATGCAGATCAATATTATAGTAACTATTGGACGGACAATGTTGATCAAATGGACGAGGCCATGGAAACATTCTCAACCTTCTGCCATTCCGCAGGGCCTGAAAAGTGCTCATTTTGGGGACCCGCGCCAGCAAATATCACGGCAAGAATGGATGGCATCATCCGTGACCTTCAGAACCGTCCAGTCCTGCTAAGCAGAGTTGGAGGTTCAAACCTGCCGACAATGGTCACCTATTCAGACCTGAAGAGTCTATTTCTCAATACACTCTACAGTCCACTGGCAAGCTTTCCAAGCATGGCTGACATCTTATACCAGGCTGAGCGCGGGAATGTATCTGCTCTTGCAAGCACGTTTGACCAGTCAAACTCTATAACCGATGCCCGGCTCGCCATTACATGCACAGATTCATATCGAAGAAACAGACTTACTACCATTGAAGAGTTCAAGACTTGGGTGGGGTACACGATTTCCAAGAGCAAGTACATCGGTGATATCTACCCTATGTTGCTTGAAGGTATTTTATGCCGATCATTCCGCCCGCAGTTGCCTGATAGCATGGTATTCCAAGGTAGGCAAGACTCCTTCTATCTTTTCTTTTCGGCATTCTATGAACATCGTCTTTGGTACATGCTGTGACCATCTGCACCGGATACAAAGTCTAATTAGGCTTGACACAGACGAAACAAGTGGACTCAATACGCCTACTTCCTTCCCAATTCTCTTTGCGAGTAATACCATCGACCCTATTACGCCGCTAGTATCGTACGTTTGGCCAAATCACATCGTCATGGGTATACTCCTTGCTAACATTATCTCGTATTAGGGCGCACAAGATGTCATCTCGGTTTGCCGGATCAGTACTTTTAATGCAAGAAGCCGTTGGTGTAAGTTGTATAAATCTTCGATCCTACATTATCTCGCCAAAAATCTCGGCTTACTCGCGGGGTGTTCCCTGACTTCAGCATACGGTCATCAACCAGGGTGGGTCAAACTGTTACTTTGGACATGTTCAGGCATACTTCCAAGGCACAGTTATCTCGTCCAACATCACCTGCCCACGACAGTATATTCCTTTCAAAGATACTTCTCCTTTTTAACAATCGCAAGGGAGAAAACGAATAGTGGTGGTTACCAGACCAACCAAAAAGCAAACAAAAAAAAAAAACAATAGCAGGGATTTGTATGTGGTCACCCACCATACTACTAACCGGCTGGTGTAGGGCCACTGTACAGACCTTCTCAGCTAGGCCTGGAACCAGAGCCAATTTTCAACTGGTTTTGGAGACGTGGCTACGGACAACCCAAGGAAGCTGCTTGAAGCTGTTGTTATTCCTTTTTCATCACCCTAGAATTTGTCGATATCTTTATCCAAATTCGTCACAGCGGGTTTTTTTTAGGAATCAAATTAGTCAAAATGTTTTTATTATTCGCAGAAGTGCCTAGAAAAAGAAAGAGAGAAAAAAACCAATGCCTTATCCTCAATTCCTAAACTTATCACTCCACCTAGGCACTGGCAGATGCTGCTCTCGTTAAGACAACTTACGCCCGCCATCGTCGACGTCGTCTATGTGGCTTCCCATAAAGGAAGGCGCGACCCTGCTCCTGCCCCTGCTTAGTAGACGCGACAGCATATTGTGTCTCATAGACTTCAGACATTTTCTCTTCTTAAACGCTCGCGAAATGTCTACTATAGTCCAAATGACTGTACTTGTCCTCTGTGCCTCTGGCACCACCACTATCAGCACCACCACCACCACCACCACCAAGCCCCTGGGGGATTTTATCGCCCCCGGCGGGTATGTTGGGATCGGCATCGCGGCCGGCCATGCCTTGGGCGCCCTCGCCCTCTTCATCAAAACAAAGATGAAGGAAAGAAAGGAAAAGAAGGACAGAGAGACGGCGGAAGAGGGCATCCCGTAAGTGAACTACAGAATCCCAGATGATAATCTTTTTCTGAACAATACTGACATCTTGTGATATAGTAAGATGAAGGGAAAACTGGATATGTGACAACAAAGTTTTTTTTATATACTTTTTTTTGTATACTTTGCTTGTATCTTAAATTTTTCTTGTATTCTTATTTTGTTCCTTGTATTTTTTTTTCTTCTGTATTTTTTTTATTATATATCGCATTCTTGCTCTGTGTGCTAGCGTGGCTCGCGAGCACTGTCTGGCTTTCTCGGCTTTTCTTCTCGTACTAATCCGTAGATCTCACCGTTCGCCGTAAACGTTTCTTATCTCGAAGGTGAGCTCTGTGGTTACATGAAAGGTGAGTCTTGTAGTCATTTACATTTGCGGCACAATAAGTAGTATATACGGTGCCTAGTAATAAGTTTGACGCGACTCCAGAACCCCCAGTCTTGGAAGATTTACTACAGATGAAGCAACCTAGTAGAAAGGTATTGAGCTAGTGAACTATCTAGTAAGATATTAAGGACTTAGTCAAGGTTGCAACTACTTCATGTCCGATGGATTATATTACTAGCAATTCGTCAAGGGTAATACACAACCTCAAACCTCTTTCTCACTGTTGTAGAATACGGTGAAATATATACCAAAATGTAGAGGTTTGGTTTTGGTATAAAGAGAGATACAAATATATCACGGAAGCAAATACCAATATGCTATTTTCCCCACTTTATGACGCCTCATCAGGACTCTCATAGAGAAACAAAAGCGACTAGCAGGAAGCTGTCGATCCCAAGAGTCTCAGACTGGCCGGCCCTTGAGATGATCCCATACCCCCTGGATAGTGTAGAAAAACATCCGTGCCCTCGATGACTTGTATTTGAAGTTTCCATGGCCGTCTATATTGTTTTTGTGGTTCCAAGTCAGCTCAGGTTGCCTATGCGATGTTGTGCCCAACTTTGAAGAAGCAAAGACGCGATCAAGCTCGGTATCAGAAAGCTTTTTCATGGCATCATAGAGCTCGTTCTGGCCGTGTGATATTCTTTCCTCGAGTGTATTCGTAGCCTCTCTGAATAAGTCTGTCATTTCATCAAGTAGTCGGCCCCATTGACGTACATACTCCAAACCTTTTGGGCATCTCAAGTCGCCTTGAAATGAGCTATCGAAAAACTTTTCGAATCTAGGATCAAGATCCCCCATTTTTCGCGCCCATTCCCGGACGCGTCTTTCATTCTGAATGACAGTGATAAGTATATTATCTTGGCTTTGATAGTGTGATTCGTATTGCGGAGGACTATCGTTAGATAATTTAGACATTGTCGGAGATAATAAAACAGTTCTTAGAAAATCTGGTCTGGTAAAGAGAACAGAGAATCTTTTGTTGGAAGGAATTATTCTAGTCTTATTCTTTGAAAAGAGTAGAGGACCCTTTGAGTTCAGTATAAACTTGCCTATCCACCGCCGAGGACTAATATAGGTACCAAAGCCATGGTACCCACACTACTAAGCCCATTTGGACTCTGGAAGATTTTCTATAAATGCTGAATGACCAGTGCATATGAGCCACAAAGTGTGACGTACATCGAAGGCCCTTTGAAAGTTCATCTTCATTGTCACGTGTCCATCGAAAGTCACTGACACAAATCAGGCCAACCCAGACCATGATCCCCTAGTATAATATCAGAGAACTTGTAGCTTGCACACGGGAATCCCATTAAAACTCATCGCCAAAACCGTTGTAGCCTTACTCGTATTGCGAGTCTCCTATCTTCAGAGATATAGAGATAAATAATTCATATTACAGTAGTGCCAGTGTGCTTCCTCTTTCACGGGATAACCGATCAGCTTGAACGCCTTGGTCAACAGTACTCATGGACGACTGTGAAAATACAGAAAAGATCTGATATTCAACATCAATATTTCTCCATGGTTTACTACTGTCGATTGACCAGGGCAGGTTCTTTTTCCTCGGCCTTGTAGATGTAGGGACTAAACTAGTACTACTAAGTTTTGATGACATGATGAGCACCACAATTCTGATTTACTAGAGACATATAGGGCTTTCTATCTCCTGGAACTTTCATAATCAACAGGCTCTGAATTCTTGGCAACGCTGCTTTGTGGCCTTCGATGCAAATATGGAAACGCAGTTGTGCTACCCAGAGGAAGGTGACCCGGCGTATTTCTGTTCTTGCTGTTGAGCGTCAATGTTTATCCAGCCTTCCTGATGCCAGAATTCTAAATTATTTCGGGGGAGGGGAAGGGGTGAAAACAACATTGTGGCTGCGGAGTTCAATCACCATTTCGGAGAAGTCCTTGACCACCAGGGCGGTATACTCCAATTCCCGAGATTATAGCCAGCTGGGCTCTTCCTATCGGCACGTGATTTTCCCGCTGTGCTTCTCCGACGGAGTGAACTCCAGTGGTTCTCGCGACCTTTTTTCTTCTCCTCCATTCCCTCTTCTCTTGTCAATTCAATTCCTCCAGCTTCAATTGTCCTCGTCATGGCTAGCGTTCGCACATTCCGAAAGGGCGCCGACCTGGTGGCCGCCAGAGCCTCCGCCCTCCACGCCCCCCGCGCCTCTATCGGCTCCCCACTTCTGCGGAGGGAGCTCTCCTCCGCGGTGCGCCCTGCAACCCGCCAGGCTCCCAGCACCAGAGTTGCTACCCCGGCTGCAATTGCACCCGTCAAGGCCCAGGCTGTCCGTTATGCCTCTGGCTCTGCTGGCCCGCTGAGCAAGACTCAGCTGTACGACCTCCATGAGGCCCACGGCGCTAAGATGGTGCCTTTCGCCGGCTTCTCTATGCCGCTGCAGTATGCCGACCTGAGCCATGTGGAAAGCCATATGTGGACTCGTGAGAAGGCCAGTCTGTTCGATGTCAGCCATATGTAAGCTTGCATCTCCGTCATATCCTCTAATCAGTCAATCGCGCAAGCAACAGGCACTAACATGCAATTACCTCTTCTAGGGTTCAGCACAACCTGAGCGGACCCGGCGCTCTCGAATTCCTTATGAAGGTGACCCCATCCTCCCTGGATAAGCTGGCACCCAACACCTCAACTCTGTCTTGCCTCCTGGAGGAAGGCACCGGTGGCATTCTCGATGATACTGTCATCACCCGTCGCAGCGAAGACACCTTCTACTTTGTCACCAACGCCGGCCGTCGTGCCGAGGATCTTGCCTTCCTGCAAGCCGAGATCGAGGCCTTTCGTGCCAAGAACGGCGCCGACAGCCTCAAGTGGGATATCCTTGAGGACCGCGCACTGGTCGCGCTCCAAGGCCCTCTGGCTGTTAACGTGCTGCAGTCTCTCATCAATACTACCGCATCGACTGCCGAAACCGACCTGAACACTCTGTACTTCGGCAATTGCCGCGAGCTGTACATCACTCTCCCCGACGGCAGCGCCTCTCCCCAGCCCCTGCTCATCTCCCGCACTGGCTACACCGGTGAAGATGGCTTCGAGATCTCTATTCCTACCTCCGCTTCCCAAGCCCTGCCCCAGCAGGTAGTCGAGCTCCTCCTCACCGACAAGAACACCGTCCGTCTTGCCGGTCTGGCTGCCCGTGACTCCCTCCGTCTCGAGGCTGGCATGTGTCTCTACGGACACGACATCTCTACCGCCCAGACTCCCCCCCGACGCTGCCCTCGGCTGGGTAGTTGGCCGCGAGCGTCGCGACCCCGCCACTGCCACTTTCCACGGTGCCTCCGTAATCCTGTCCCAGCTTGCGAGCCCCAAGTCTCTCAAGCAGCGCCGTGTTGGTCTGACCGTCGAGAAGGGCTCCCCTGCCCGTGAGGGCGCCAAGGTCGTTGACATCTCTGACCCCGCCAACCCGGTCGAGGTTGGTGTTGTTACCTCCGGTCTGCCCAGCCCTACCCTGGGCGGTACCAACATTGCCATGGCATATGTTAAGAACGGTCTGCACAAGAAGGGCACCGAGCTAGGTGTCCAGGTTCGGAATAAGGTGCGCAAGGCTACTGTCGTCGGTATGCCTTGGATCGAGAGCAAGTTCCACCGTCCCTCTTAGATCCTTGTCCGTTCATTCCATTCATGACGCTATATATGTTCAACTTTTCCTTTAAATAAGAAGCGATTGGGGTTTTCTGTGTGGTTGCACTTGTACATAACGTTCTTCACAGCAGCCTTGTCTTTTATATTTGCCTCTCTGAGATTATATGTTCTACTTCAACAGTATAGAGACATTATACAACATAACATTATCATACAAAGATAAACCATGTGCGATCTCACAATTTCTCAGACTGTCTCCCCATTATCGTGACTCTGAATGTCAGCGATAGATTTTCCCAAATTTTTGGGGTCGGGGGGGCCGGGATGAAAGGGCTGTCCGGAGTAGAACTTTGTGGACTGGGACAATTATTGCTTCAAACACGAAAAAAGAAAGCGGGGATAATTAGCATAAGACTAAAGCACTCAATCAATTTCTCCTCAACTTACCCAACCTCAGTCCCATCGTGGTGGTTATCTTCCCAGGAAGTACACAATATAAAACGAGTCCAGCGCTTTAAGAGTCTCGCGTACGGAATTCCACAAAATTGTTCGACGCCATTTGCGTATTGTAACCCATCCAGTCGACCTAGGCCGTCGATATTGACTGATATTCTTGATGTTGAAGTTTGGAAAGACATGGAAATGTCCCTAGGTTCGATACCCTAGGTTCAATACAACTGCTTCTGCTGGAACTCAACGCTAGAGCTTAGAGGTTCTGGGCAATTGCATTATAGATAGTAGATTCTGAGAATCGCTCAATAGGACTGCATGAATTCAGGGTCCAAAAGCGAGCATGTTGAGTAACCTACTTGCTCAGATAAATAAATGTTATGCTATCTGTGTGTCCAATCGGAGGGTATTGCGAAAGCTCCAAAATGCATGCAACCCTAGCCATTCTTTCTAAGGTTGCAAGTTCTCCACTAGGCACTGTATCCATATTTTCATAATATGCTGGTATAAATACAAATTGTGAGGTATTCTGGCACGGCCCTTCGTACAGTCACGAGGTATTTTCGCGAATAAATGCCACGAGTGCCTCTCTCCCGTCATGCTTTATCGGACATTCGGTATGCATGGCTCCGGGGATTTCTTTTCTAGTAATATCTAGTCCAAGATCGTGTCCTTGCTTTTCCAACTTACCCGCCACATACGGTGGAATTACTTCATCATTCTCTGCCGAGATAATGAATATTGGAGGAACAGATGGCGATTGGGACCGAGTGAGGTGGGTTGGTTCATTGGTTTGCATGTCTTTCGCGTTCTGGGCTTTCCACACGGCGAGTTTTTCAAGGGCCGTGGCAGTACACCATGTATTCCAGGAAAATGGCCAGAGGTAGCGATAAGGAAGCCATTTTTGAGGATACAAGCTGATCAACATGTCCTTGATGCTGGAGATCGGAGCCTCCATTATGAGCCCAGAAATGGGAGGCAAGACTTTACTGCGCGCTGCTTGCGTGGTACATTGAGTGATAAGATATTTGGACAGAACCGAGCTAGCCACGGCAGATCCAAGGCTATGCCCCCATAGCACGATCTGAAGGTCGGTATTTGGCGATGTGTATGAGGCCGAAACCCAGTTCAAGAAAGTTTGCGCGTCACGTTCAATTCCTGATTGAGTAGCGCGACCGGATGATGTCCAGTATCCGCGATAAGAGAGGGCGACTATAGTATAGTCGGGCTCAACATTTGAGTCTGCAAATTTCGACTTATCTGCAAGCGTTCTCAGAACCCGAGAAAGAAGAGGCAATCGAAGAGGTGTTGATCCACCATTTCCTTGAAAATAACAGATTACAACTGACTTCTTCCTTTTTGACTCAATGGTACTGTGGTCCTTTTGGGTGGGAACTCGCCCTTCACAAACTGCTAAGTTCGTTCCATCCAGACTTTGAATGCGCTTTTCTTCCCACTGCACGGGTTTGCATTCTGGCAGATAATCCTCGATCTTGTCAGATCGAGAGAACGGGGGAAGCCAAGAGAGATACAAGAGCTTGTTCTGCATAACGATGATCCAGAAACACTTCCATGTCCAGAGGCCGAATAGGAGGCCAGTGAAAATTGCTGGCGGGAGCAGAGCAGGAGGGATGGCCTCGGTGAAAATGGAGCGAGAATGTTTGACCTTCTCGACTTTCAAGGCCAATATCTTCGACTCTAAGCATGTTCGTTTTCTTGCTCGTGTGTGAATAGAGTTGTGGGGTATTTGCACCCTTGGCTGGATTGCCCTGCTCGTCCACAAGCCGATTGGGTGGCGTCCAACACGCCGCGAATTCAGCCGTCCCAGCATCAAGGCGGCCGATCTTGTATCCTCCCTTGAAACATTTGGCAGATTCGATGTCAGGGTTGCTGGATAGATGGAAGAAGCGCATTCAATCCGTCGCGGACGTTGAGAAAAAAAAAACAGATGACTCAGCGATCACATGAGGTCTAGGTTTCCAACAAGCAAGAAGTATACGGAAATTCTGGTCGAATTATTAGGTCGTTGTATTTTCAAAACAAAATTTAAAATTAAGATAGCAGATTCAATTGAAGTTAAAATATGAAATATCATTTTCCAGGCACAATGTACAAATATTCCGAGTCCTATCTGCGCCAAGCAGCAATGCCCTAACACCCAAACTACTAGGATTATCAACACATGGAAAGGGACAGCCGTTTTGATGGTTAGGTTATCCCTGTCACATAGATATCAAAAACTCATATCCTACGATCTTGCCCAATCTCATTGTTCCAATGTTCCTAGTGTATAAATAGTTGTAGTAGTACTGTCAGTCTTCTGCACCCCACGCATCGCCATACAGAGATGGGCGAAAGCATAACATAATAAATGTGAGCCTCATGTTCATCAAGTCTTTGTTTTGAATGTTTGCCTTTGCTCCTTTTGCTTCTAAATTGCACTTTCCCATTTGTAAAGCGGCTATGCCTCCAAGTCGGGCACTCAATACCAGCCTACTATATCACAGCCTCCCCTGTCTTGATCATTACCACGCACTTTCATCATCAACTCTCATATATCTGCATTTTCATAGCCGGCTCTTATTGGATTCCGTCAAGTAATTTTCTAAAGTTATAATTTCTAAGTAAGGGTACTGGGAGTGAAGGCCGAGAAAAGAAATCAATGCACGAACCTGTTTTTCTGGCACTTCAACCATACATAAACAGACAATATTTAGGATATGTAAAATAGTAAATCCTCATGTCTGCTTCTGCTTAACAGAGCGCCACTCAATCAAAAGACTCCCCAAAATCGTCATACAACCCAACGCAACAGGAAGATACCAAGTACTCGTCAAGCTGCGATCAATACCGCTCAAAACTTCATCTAAGCGCTGCCCCGGAACGCCATTCTTAATATCGCCAAGTCCACGTTCTTCAATATACGCCGGTGTCAATCCGGGCACAATATTCTCCAATCTTGACGATAGTTGATTCGTGAATATGACTTGCGCAATAGCGATGAATACTGCTGGTCCCATACTCTGTCCGAACAAAATGACTCCGATCCCGAGATTGACATCTGCAGGTGGTAACATTGTTTGAACGGCTGCTTGGGGACCCTGAAAGCCTATTCCTCCGCTGAATCCCACTAAGCCGGAATATAGTATTATCTGGGTAAGTGATGTATCGAGGGTATAGGTCGTCATTAAGCCCGCTGCAATTGGCATACATATGGAAGCGAAGATCATGAAGGGGGCGTAATAGCCGAATGTACTAGTTCCGATACCTTGTAGAAAAAGGCCTAGCATCATTCCTGCGAGGATGGGAATCATTAAATAACCGCTTTCGCTTGGAGTCTGGAAGAATTAGTAATAACACTGTTAACATTGTGTATTTACGTCCCAAATTGGCAATGAGGACCCTAGTCTTACCCGTGACCGAGCAACTTGATAGTATGTCGGTAAATACCACTCCAAAACATTCGTCATTGAATTGGTGCAAGTTACGAAAATGAATCCCGCGATGACACTCCGATTTTTGATCACGCGGAAAGGGAGTGCTGCGGAGTCGCCGCGTCGGTATTGATTGTAGACGAAGGCGCCGAGGAGCACGCCAAATACAACAAATAAGGCAATCACCCTTCCATCCGACCAAGGATACTTTGTCCCTGCCCAAGATAGCGCGACAAAGAGTGCAGTGAGAGATGGTATGAATAAACAATTACTGACGAGGTCGAGCTCTCTGATCTTCTGGGCCATTGTAAGGTCGTCTTCTAATTGGGCTCTTGGGTCTGAGAAAAGGAAAAGTAATGTCGCCAGCGATACGCCGCCAATTGGAAGGTTGATCCTAAAAGCATGTCAGTGGTGAATTATATCTTTAGTCGAGGTGGAGAGAGAGAGAGCACGTACCAGAAACACCACCTCCACCCTAGCGACTGCGTCAATGCACCACCTACTATAGGCGCCGAGATGATAGCGAGCGATTCCACACATGCCAGTAATCCCATCAAGGCTGGCCGTTTGTTGAGTGGAACAATATGCACTGCGATGGCAAAGCACCCGGCCAATTCACCCGAGAACCCCAGACCTGTCACGGCTCTCCCGACAATGAACATGGTGGATGAGGCAGCCGTAGCGCAAAGTAAAGAGCCAGTGAGAAATATGACATTGCTTATCAAAAAGATCGTCTTGATCGAGAAGTGCTTATAGAGCTTCGCGAACCCGAATTGGAATGCACAGGTGCAGAGTCGAAATGCAGATGAGTACCATCCCACATCAGCGACAGTGTGAAAATGGTTGGTGATACTCGGAACGGCCGTAGCGACGATGTTCGCATCGAGGCCTCCGAGAATGAGGACCACGCATAATGTCAATATTGTGAACCAGAATTTCGATCCTTTTGGGTAGCTGGTCGTTATATCCGGGGTTGATTCGATGTTAAGAGATGCAGTTGATCGTGTCGAAGTTGTCTGTGGTTGCCGTGAGTCAGGTGAAACAGCAAAATTTACATGCTCAAGCGCGATAGGAGACGCCTCTGTTGGCGTTGCAGTGGCCATTGTATGAGGGTCTCGCCAGTGAACATGAAGAAAGAGGGGGAGTCACGACTGTCGTAAAGATGGTGGGGTAGCTCGTGCTGCTCGCTGATGCCGAGCCCGAGCCGAGAGGTACTAGTAGTACATAACAGACAGTGCATAATTGAAAAATGCTTTCATGCTATCTCAATACCAAAGTATCTATATTGTATAAACTAAGTGCATCCATCCCAGATGCATCCCTAATGATAACACCCGCTTTCCACCTAGTAATGTTAACAATGCCATGCAATGTGATTCCTATGCCCAAACACCCAATGCAACCAGAAAAAGATTGGATATTGCAGCACTGCGACTACAGAACAAAAGAAAAGGAGAAACGCCTATGCCAAAATGCACGACATGCAAAGGAAAGAATAGCCGGAAGACGAACGTGGATTATTGTTTTTCTTTTCTTGTTTCACATATCCATATCGTCATCATCCCAGCCCAATTGTTCGTAGATGGATTTTGATTGAGACTTCTCTGGGGTTACTGGAACAGTAGAAGCTCCCTTGACTGGTGTACTCGTGACGGCGGGGGGAGATGGTGCTCGAGTGCGTTTCGTGGAGAGAGTTTGAATGGGTATTTGAAATGGAACGGAGCGGGATGATACTAAGGGAGTGCCTTGTTTTCTCGGCGGCGTTTCCATTATCCCGCCCGAAGGGTGGTTATTTTGAATCGAGTCAGCCATTAATGGTGATGAGCCTGGGACAAATGATGGGTTTGCTCCTTGGTGTCGTGATGAAATGGGTGTTGATGGTGCCATTGGTTCTGCTGTGAGATCGCCGGCAGTGGAACGAGGTGCTGGAAGATTAGGGACTCGGAAGAGACCTTTGCCTCTGGATGGCTTTGAGAGTAGATCGTCCGGATCTGTAGAGCCGGCATTCATATCGCCGTCAAAGAAGAGTTTGGAAGATGGTCGGGTCGGCGTTTCTTGTATAGAGCCAAGTTCAGCCGATGGAGCGGGTCGCTTGATGCCACTGATAGTAGTTGTGCGACGGGAACTGAACAGGTTTGCATCGGGGCCTGAAAATGAAGTGGCCCGCCGACTTGAAGAAGGGATCATCACAGGAGATTCTTCTAGTGGTTGATCTGGCATTTCACCCGCAAAGGAACGAGACGGCGCGAGACTGCGAGGCAGTGGTGGCATACCGACTATTGCATCTCTCTTGCGATTTCCACGAGGTGTTGCCATGACCTGGACTCCCTCGCCAAATGGATTGCGAACAGGGTTTTTCGATTTGCGTGCGCTGCCACCGGTGGGAACTCTTTTTACCGCGTCCTCAGCAATATCCTTTGCCACAAGCTCACGATTTGGCTTGCGCAGGGCACGAATGGCAGCATCGAGTTCCTTCTTTTGGTCAACAAGCATCTGCACCTTACGCAATTTGGTCTCGTGTTGGCGTGCAGCAGCATTGAGGTCAACTTCGCGGTTATCTCGGCGCTTCGCCTGTTGAATGCCACCTCGGACGCTACCGCTCAGGTGGTGTGGTAGAAGAGGCTCAATTGAGTCACGATTCGATTCTTGCTTCGATGGAGCTGTTTTCGATCGATGCAGTGATGGTGCTCCATTCCGAGATGCCGCAGCCTTTTCATCTGTAAGTACCCGCTGCAAAGAGCGCCGAGATTTTGGTGCTGGCTGTTGGCGCTTGGCTTCTGCGCCAGCTTCCACGCGGCTTTTACTCGACGGCTGGACCTTTTTGGCGACAGGGGAGATTCCACCAGAGACTCCGAACTTCCGTGTGATAAGCTTGCACTTGTCTGGTAGACGTGATGCATAGAATGGAATGATGACTTCGGTGCAAAAGTCGCGAACCGCATCACTCTCTACCTTCTTGCCGGACATGTGGTTCTCGCTGAAAGACGATGTCTTGACCGATTCCACGCCGGTAGATTCCTCCATACTGACAGCATGCCAGATGCACAGGCGATCAAGATGCAGTTCAAGAAGTACATTGAGGTCTTGTGCTTTTTTAGCCTTGGTTTTCTTTGAAGTGGCCTTCTCTTCGCTGGCTACTTCCATGTCTCCATCTTTCGGCTTGTTTTTAGCTTCGGTAGGTGTTGACTCCAGCGACAAAACCTCCAGAATGAGTAAAATCTGCAACTGCGTTTCCCGAAGTCGTAAATCGGAAATTTGTTTCTTTGTCTCGGCTTCTCGGGCACCTTCATGTGTTGAAAATTCTGCCATGCTGCGATCCTTCCACCATTTGTGAATGAAGCTATCCTCCTCAGGATATAAGCCATTCTTGCCGAGCTTCTTCTTCTTACTCTTCCGTTTCTTGGATGCCCCGGTGCCTTCGTTATCAGATAGGGCTAGCACCGCATCACGCATAGCAGCTGGAACAGATTCTCGGAATTTCAGATCCATCTTCTTGGCGGCAAGGATAGCCTCTCGGTAGAAGTCTACAAGATCGGCGGGCGAGTGGGTGCCTTCAATGGCAGACGTTTGAAAGGCAGTTCGGCAGCGCGTGAGAGGGCCTTTAGCGAAGTAGGCAAGGGATGTCTGCACATCGTGTCAGAAAGAAGATACCGATAAATACCTTCCAGTATCGCACTAACCTTAGAAATGTAAAGAGCCTGCAAATAATGATCTCTCATTCCTTCAAGCAGCTCGGCCGGTGTTTGCTTCGCATCACCCTCGGTATGATCAACAGCACGGTCGACATCCATTGCCCCGGCATTTAGCTGTGACTCCAAGGGCGTATAGAAGACATCGTCGTTAGCCGCACTCTGTGATGGCTGCACAAGAGACTGGCCACGAGACAGACTGCGAGACGCAATATCATCCACGAACGAAGGTTCATCCTGAACAATCTCAACCGAGGGCTGACCAAAAACCATATCGACCCTTAAACCGGCAAACTCGTCTCCCAACCCCAGATCCGAATGAGGTTCCTCGATCTGAGCAGCCTGCCACCAATAAAGCGGATCCGGAAGACCGCAATCTTCACTCTCCCCATCAGTCTCCATATCCACATCCGTATCAATGTCCTCATTACCCTGCCACCCCTTCGCCGCAACAATGATATCACCCTCTTGAACCCACCTCGCAAGCCTAGCTAACGAGTAGATTCCCCTCTTCGCCCTCTCAACAACGTAAATCGCTCCCTCGTCCACCAACCGGACCACAAGAACGGTCTGTTCCGCGCCCGCCTTTGACCTTGGCCGTAAATCATTTTCCAATGCGGGGATATCGGCCATGAACAGGCCTCCACCAGGCTGCACATCAGAGCGGCGCGAAGACGACGCGTCGTCAATCCAAGAAAGCGGGAATCGAGATCGGGGGAGAGCGACAATCGGATCGAGAACTAAGGGGTTTTCTGATAAGGAAGCTGCATGGGCCTAGATATCACGAAAACCATCAGCGGAAATCCAAGTTAGCCAATAGATCTTTCCGAGACAGTATAGGACGACGGGGACAAATTTGATGTGTCACGGAGAAAGGGACAGGGACAGGGCACTCAAACTCACGCGAATAACAATCGAGGTAGTGGCAAGCTGACCCGCAGCATTACCGGTACCATCTGGTACAAATTTCCGCTTCTTACTTGGCTGTTGGCCTGCTTCGTGGAGTTTGTTCAGTGTCGAGAAACTGAGAGGGTCCAGGACGCCTGGGAGCGCGAGGGCTTGCGCTTGCGCAGTCATGACGGAGTGTCTCTAGGGGACGGTATGGTGCATTGTGGTAATTCGATTATGCCTGAAAGAAGAAAAGAGAAACGCTGTAATCAAGAAATGCAATGCTCATGCAAATTGGATTGTATGGTGGAGTTGGTGGGTGGAGGAGCGGAGCGCGGCGCGGGTTGTCAGTTCTGGCCTGGCGTCACGCGTCGTGGTCAATGCATCCGACGTCTTCCCCACCTTCTCTAATGATCTTCTCTGTACTGCGTAGATTTCTGTAGGAACTTGGGCCTTGTTACTCTAAATTAATTGGAGTTGTGTTGTGTTACACTTAATGTGTTACATTTACGGTTTACATGGAACGTGTTTTTGGTAATTGTAAATTTAATCATTAATTTGCTAATGTTTAGATTAGCGACCTTTTCAGCCCGCAGAATCTCGAGAGGCGGTTAACACCATCTCAATATCATGCGAGCCCAAACCCCCCCGAGAGTTGAAGCAAGAATAAATGGAAATGCAAGGCTAGCATGCAAAAGCATCATTACTTTCAGGTGAAAGGAAGGAGGTAGAAGGGGGGGGTCTGTCCAAGGTAATATGTTGTTGAAGACTTTCGCTCCGGAAAAACGCCAAAACAATTCCGTCCCAGCCGATGAAAGTGTGGTATCATGTTGAATTTTGTCTTCGCCGTAAGGCCCGTCTCTTCAGGGCGACCATGCAGATAATGAAACAAGTGGTAGATTGATTCCAGATCAAAGAAACCAAGCTTTTATGAGGGTTTTGTTCTTTTTTAAAAAAAAAAAAAAAGTTCTATGCACGTGCTTTGAGTTGTTGAAAACAAAGCAAACTCATCAAAGTCGTCAAAGGGGTCACGAGGAGAGATCCGTTTAGAACTTGAGGGCCTTAGGCTGCTCCCAGGTGAAGCTCTGGTTGGTGAAGTGACCGTTCTTGGCGGTCTGGGAGTAGATGGGCTTGGCCAGGTCCAGGTCCTTGACAATGACACCGGGGCGCAGGTCGAAGTTGTTGCGGATAATCTGGACCAGCTCCTCGGAGGTCTTCTTGGAGGTACCGTAGGTCTCGACGAACAGGGAAAGGGGCTCGGCGACACCAATGGCGTAGGAGAGCTGGACAAGGGCACGGCGGGCGAGACCAGCGTTGACGAGGGATTTGGCGATCCAGCGAGCGACGTAGGCAGCGGAACGATCGACCTTGGAGTAGTCCTTTCCGGAGAAAGCACCACCACCGTGGGCACCCCAACCACCGTAGGTGTCGACAATGATCTTACGGCCAGTCAGACCGGCGTCACCCTGGGGACCACCGATGACGAAGCGGCCGGAGGGCTGCATGTGGTAGACAGTGCGGTCATCGAGCAGGTTGGCGGGGATGACCTTCTTGACAATTTTCTCCTTGAGGACAGCACGGAGCTCCTCGGTGGAGACATCATCAGAGTGCTGGGCGGAGATGACGACGGTGTCGACGCGCAGGGGCTTGACAGCACCATTATCGTGGGCGTACTCAATGGTGACCTGGGTCTTGGTGTCGGGCAGCAACCAGGGGATGGAGCCGTCGTTACGGGCAGCCTTCATGGCGGCGTTGAGCTTGTGGGAGTACAGGATGGTGAGGGGGAGGAGCTCAGGGGACTCGTCGGTGGCATAACCGAACATGATACCCTGGTCACCGGCACCGAGCTTCTCAAGAGCCTCCTCGTAGTGAAGACCCTGAGCGATGTCGGGGGACTGTTGCTCAATGGCAACCAAGATGTTGCAAGTCTTGTAGTCGAAGCCCTTCTCGGAGGCATCGTAGCCGATGTCCTTGATAGCGCCACGGATGATCTTCTGGTAGTCCAGGTTGGCCTTGGTGGTGATCTCACCGAAGACCATAATCATACCTGCAATGTAACATGTCAGATTGGGAAAATACGAGTCAGACGGGATTATAATTGCACCTACCAGTCTTGGTGGCGGTCTCGCAAGCAACCTTGGAGAGGGGGTCCTCAGCCAGGCAGGCATCGAGGATAGCATCGGAGACCTGGTCGCTATATTGCAGAAAGGATTGATTAGCATGTGAAGAGGGGTAAAGAAGGGGGTTGGGTAAGAGAAATAAGAGGAATGAGCAAGTCTCAGGGGCAAACTGCAGCATGACCGGAAGAACCTGAGGGGAGGGGGAACCCTGGGAAAAAACAGAAAAACTCACGCAATCTTATCGGGGTGACCCTCACCGACGGACTCGGAGGTGAAGAGGAAAGTAGGCTGGGAGCCGTTGGCAAGAGAACCCATTTTGAAGGATGTGAATTGACTTGGGGGAAAAGTCTGGAGTGAGAAAATAAAGAAGAGAGAGGGAGAGAGAGAGAGAGAGAGGATGAAGGAGAGAAGGGAAAGGAAAGGAAAGGGAAGAAGAGGGGAAAAAGTGGTGGGGTTTTTCTTTTTTGGGGCCCAGCAAAAACGTGAGTACAGACAAGGTACCGGGTTGGCCAGCAGACGGGCCGGCAAAAAGTGGGTACTGTTGGTGTACCGTCCAGGCTGATCTCTACAATGCACCACTCTGCACCACTCTGCACCACCTTACACCGCCTGCCAAAATGGGGGAACTCTAAGGGGGTTTCATTGCGGGCTGCAGGGGGGGCCGGATGGCGCAATTATGGGCGGTGAAGAGTAAGACGGCAGATTCATGTGGGACTCTTGATGTGGTTTGCACTGTTTGCACTTTGCGGCAGCCACAACCTTCCACATGTGCCGGGGGGGGCCGGGACACCGCCCCCGATAAGCATCAGTCCGATAACACAAATTCAGAGCTGCTGCATTTCTGAATAGCAGCTCAACTACCACCACCATCACCTCCACCTCGTTTTCCCCTCCACCCACTATGTCCAAATTTGGTGTTCTGGTCATGGGCCCCGCTGGGGCCGGCAAGACCACTTTCAGTAACTCTCTCATTCAACATCTGCAAAGCACCCGCCGCAGTTGCTTCTACGTCAACCTCGACCCCGCCGCCGAGAACTTCACCTACCAACCCGATCTCGACATCCGGGAACTGATCACCCTAGAAGATGTCATGGAGGAGCTGGGCTTGGGTCCAAACGGAGCATTGATTTACTGTTTCGAATTCCTCCTCCAAAATCTCGAGTTCCTTTCCGAAGCCCTCGACCCATTAAGCGAAGAATACCTCATCATCTTCGACATGCCTGGTCAAATCGAACTATACACACACGTCCCTCTCCTCCCATCTTTAACGCAATTCCTCTCCCGTCAAGGTCCTCTAAATATCAATCTCTGCGCCGCCTATCTTCTCGAAAGCACCTTTGTCATCGACAAGGCGAAATTTTTCGCTGGCACCCTGAGCGCCATGTCTGCTATGCTCATGCTCGAGATCCCCCACGTCAATATCCTGAGTAAAATGGATCAGGTCAAGGATATGGTTTCGAGGCGGGAATTCAGACGCTTTGCAAATGTCGATGTACAATTATTGCAAACTGATGAGGAAGACCCTGCTGTTACCGCCGACCCAATGGACAAGGATGCGCTGATGAGCGGTGGCTCGTTCAAGCAGCTCAACCGTGCTGTCGGCCAGTTGATTGATGACTTCAGCATGGTCTCTTTCTTACAACTCGATGTCTCCGATGAGGATAGTGTCTCCGGTATTCTCAGCCACATCGATGATGCCATTCAATACCATGAAGCGCAAGAACCCAGGGAACCAAAGGATGAACAAGAAGTCAACTATGAAGAGGAGTAGAGATGGGAGGAATTCTCGGCTTCTCAGCACATTTTGATCGCTTGCTCTATACCTTCTGCCCACTGCTTGTTTACCTACTCGTGGGCGGCCGCATCTAATCTCGCGCGCCGACCCGAGATTTCTCGTGGCGCGTGCCTGCAAATCTCTGGTGTCTTCACATCATTTGACCCACTTCTCGACCCACGCCCATCCGTCTATCTACAAAGCTACGTTCTACGATCTACACTACAATCTTGACTTGCGCAAGCATAGGCCACTCCGCCATCCAGCAAGAGATAGCTATAGCTATCTACGATCTACCATTCTCGAGAAAGGCGAAATACTTGCATGAAGGATCGGCATTGAAGAATCAACACCTAGAATTTGATTTCTGGCAGGATCTCAACCCGAACAAAACGCCTCTAACCCCTCCATGATTTAAACAAAAAGGAAAAAGAAACCACGAATGATGAATAGTTCACAGAAGACCCATCGTCTCCAAAAAGGATTCCCAGCTCGCTATCAACCAAGCCAAATAAAAGCAAATGGGAGTTCAATCAAGTGTAGAAGAAAACAAAAACAATGCCCGCTCATTCCATTTCGTACAAGAGTTGGTATACTTGCAGGTGTCCATCACCATCACCATCACCACGAAGCACTCATTCCAATCATAATGCCTCAAGCACACGACAAGCCCCTCGCCCACATATTATATCACCTCCCCCACCCCCACCCACCACCAGAAGTAACCTTCCCCTTGCCATCCCACCCCGGCACATCACGATACCCTCCACCAGCAGCCCTCCCACCCCCTTTCCCATTCTCCGCCGCCTGCGCAGCTCTAGCCTGAAAATCCTCAACAAAGCCCTCAACAACACCATACACCCACCCAAGATCCTTTCCAGCCTTCTCAAAGCCGACCTGATAGACATAAAGCACGGAAAGGGCAATGGAGCCCCAAAAGACCAACCGCAGCGCAAAGACCACCCACCACATGATAACGCGGCGCGCGTAGTCCAGCAATCGGAGCGAGACGTAGAATATGGCGAGTAGGATGAAGATTGTGAATAGGTCTGTTGTGCCGGTCGTTGACATTAGGATGCTTGAGAGTGGGGATATGATGTAGGGGTCTATTATTGTTGAGCGCAGGGTTGCGAGGTGTGTTGTGAGGGCGGTGCTTGTGCTGGACTTTAGGTAGGTTGTTACTGGGTGGTTTAGGAGGTCTGTCACGGGTTCGGGGAGGTTAGTTGGTGACACGGTTTGTGGGAGGAGGTATTGGCGGGCGCGATGACCGTTTTGTAGAGCGCACCTTTGAAGTTTTCCATTTTGGTTGAGGGCCACACGGGTTGTGGACTCGATAAAGTGATGGGAAGAATGGGAGTAAATGTATCTCAGGTCTCAGGTTCCAAGGCTGGTTTGGTTTTATGTTGCGCGCTACCCCAGGGTGGTGAAAGGGTCTTTGTTTGGTAGACTCGATTGTTTTCCAAGCTTCTCGCTTTGCTTTTTGTTTCTGGACTGACAAAGGGGTGTGTGATTCTTAAGTCTGTCTTCGGGTGTGAATGCGCATTGAATAGTTGATTGGGTTGAAGTGGTATGGAATGGAGGAGAGTAGGAAGTACTAGTATGATGCGACAAAGTGATACGGTGGTCATTGACTGATGATAACAAAGTTGGTGCAAACGCGACAAACATTGGAATGCAGTCGCTTGCCGCCGCGGAAACCATGGCCAACTTGAGATACTACTAGTAGTGGAGTGGATTCTTACTTCTGAGGTGTAGTGCGAGAATTAAAAGCGAATAGTAGTAGTGGAATGGTCCTTGTAATTATGTTTGAATAATAATAGGTAGATTGAATATAGTAAGTATCTCCCTCGTGTACTAGACGAGTACTGTACAGCCATTATATACTAAAGCAAGTGGTCAATATTTACAAGCGCGACCACTGGAACACCATCTCTGAACAACCAGAGCCCAAACCGAGGCCAGACAAATTCAAAAAACAAGAGTCTCAGCCAGATGCCGAGGCATAAAAATAATAAGATGTTATGCCTCAGTATTAACTGTGAATGACTCTAGAAACTCCAGTGCCAAATAGTGAAGAAAGAAATGGAAAAGTAATGGAAAAAGAAGGGAAAACTCCATGACACATGGTAAACTCTAGCATCGAAACCGGATGCGAGTCAAGATGCAGATGCAGACGTGGGTGGTATATAGACGCAAGAGAGACCAAAAAGGGGATGTGGGAAAAAGAACGGGACCAGCGCCACTACTATACGTAGCCAGCCAGCGCCTTGAATGAATCGCGCTCGGTCTGAATGTCTGCTTGCAAGCGGCGAGTCTGACGAAGGGCCTCGTCTCTGTGGGGAAAAAGTCAGTTCTGTCCGATCTGAAACACGATCTATCGACTTTCGGAGATTTTGTTGCCTCCCGCCAAGGGTAAAAACGTACCTATCAGATTGAAGTTGGGCCACATCGACTTGAGCGTGGTTCATCCGTCCTACCGCTTCTTCCATTTCCATATCTGCTTCCCGGAGGAGTCGCTCGAGGCCCTTGATGTGTTTCTCTAGGGCCTCGGCCTGGATGATTTCCGTCAGCGGGACGCCGGTACCGCTGGTTGTTTGGTCGAGACGAGGTGTCCGGCTGCTGAAGGGTGCATTTTGAGGGCGTGGCGAGAGAGCGGCGGGCGTGCGGCTGCCATTCTTCATTCGGACCAGTTGGGCATTCTGGTTCTCCTTCATCAGGCGAATCTCATCTTCGTGCTTGCTCATTGCCTCTTCCGAGTACTGCTGCGCGTACAAGAGGACGTCCTCTAGTTCCTTCATTCGGCTTTGCAGGATATTGATGCGCTCAACGGACAACTGATGGTCGCGCTCGCCCTTGATAATGGCACTCTCCAGACGGTTGCGCATGGAACTGTTTGTCTGCAGCTGGTACTGAACTTGTTCAGCTAATGACTCTGTCCGGGCAAATGCCTCTGTCAACTCGTCGGACTCGGCCCCGGCTCCAGCCTGCTGACGGTCTAGTTGCAATTGTTGGTAAGCGGATTCCAGAGAAGATGATGTCGCCATAACATCGGCGAAGCTCTCTCCATCAGCCTCGAGACCCTCCGATACAACGGCATCATGCTCCTGCAGCAACGAACGAAGGTACCCGGTGTCTTGCTCGGCACGGTCAAGATCCATCTTTAGACCAGCCAAGTTCTTCTCACACTGCCACTTGCCATCCAAAGCGTCTTCAGCACGCATACGCAGGTGATTCAGGTCGTCCCGCAAGCTGCTGACCTCCTTCTCATAACCAAGCTTTCGTGGTGGGCCCGACTGTTTCGCACGCTGGACCTCAATCTCCATAAGCCTAGCGCGCTTCTCAAACTCTTGGGCCTGGAAGGCTTGACGGTCGAGGAGGCTCTTAAGCGTGCGGTGCAGAGCGTCACGCTGGAATTCGATATCATTAACTTTGTCGACTAATGACTCGCCGTTACCGCTCTCACGTTCATTTCCACCGGCCTTGACTGAGTTCGACCTGGACAATGAGCCGGAACGCTTTAGACCGCTGGGTTTCCTGGCAAGGGAGTTCGATCGTGATAGGCCGAAAGCCGAGTTCCGCTTCGATGAGCCGCCGTCTTCTTCTGCGATCGAAGCAAATCTTCCTCCTTGTAGTTGGGCCAAGGAAGCATTTTCGATCTTCAGTGCCTCGATCTCCTCTATTAAGCGCTGCATATCCGCTGGCGGGGCCTTGCCTTCGCGAAGCAGATCACGCTCGTTTCGCAGTTGCTCGAGCTCGACACGCATGGCTGTGAGTAAGTCTTCGAAGTTGTCTTTTGATTGTCGCTCCTCGAGGAGTTTCCGGCGGGTGTTCTCTAACGCGCCTTCGAGCTCGTGAGTCTTGGAGGAAAGATCGGATAAATCAGTTCTCTCACGACGAAGCTAATGATGGAATAGTTAGCAAGACCTCTTCTCCCACATATCTACACCATTATTGACTCCTTACCTGTTGGACCTGGTTCTCCAGGATCTGGACATGTGATTCAGATGCTGTCCGTTGCATTCGCTCTTCTTGCAGCTTCTGGGATAGCTCCACCTTCAACTGCCCACGTTCTTGCTCCGCCGCCCGGCGGATCTTCTCTATGTCTTCACTCCGGTCAGGGGCATATCGAACCGAGCTAGTCCCCGAGTCGGAGAAATAGTCACTGGTCCGCCTGTTCACGTCGGGTCCTTCTAATTGTAATCGTTCAACCAAATCCTCGAGCTCCATTTCCCGGCGGATGGAGCCCGCCAGCTCGGAGCTAATTTCGCGCAACTCATTTTCCAAGTCATTAATTTTCGACGCAATAACATGCTCGGTTCCACTGACGGTTCCAAGTGATGGCGTCCTTTGGAGCGGGCCAAATCCAGGAGTTTTGGGGTCATAAGGGGAGGCGGGTTTGATGGGGACGTTGGCCAAGGGAGGCATAGGGGAGTATAATGAAGATCGGCCGCCGTCAGAGATCTCCGTGCTGGAGGATTCGCCGCCAGGGGATGTGGCTGCAGGTGCGTTTGTGTTGCCCTTCCAACCAAAGAAAGAGCTGATCTTTTTGCCGGGGGTTTTGGGTTGTCGAGGGTCGGCCTGGCCCATGGACATGGACATGGACCTTTGATCGATGTCGATGTGTAACGGTGGTGGCCGATTCATGGGAGGGTGCAAGGCCATACTCGATGCACGCCTTTGAGTGGGAGGTGGGGAGTTGAGGACCGGGATGAAAGGCTCGCTCACTAGACGACTGTGCAGGGGGGTTCCGATTCCATTCGTGAACTGTTGTTCGTAACTTTCGTCAAAGAAGTCGACACTTTCGTCGTCGTCGTCGTCGTCTTCGTCCTCGACCACGGACCTCAGGTACGCAGACGCGGTAGAGGCCCTGGTATCTATACGGAGGGGTTTGGCAGGGACGGAGCCACGCGAGTATCTAGGGAAGCGCGACGTGGGTAAGTGATGGGTCTTCCAGATTATGGGGAAGCGCGATAGCATGTATTCGTGGCCATTGACACACGCTCCCAAGAAGCCAGGACTAGGGTTTCTTCAAAGCCGAGCTGGGACCATGGAGGGACAAAGGCCGACGATCAGGGGGTGGGTTTGATGCCGAGTGGGACTGGCTCAAAGTTGTTTTTTTATTCCCTCTTAGATTGATGGAGTTGCGCATACCTGTTTGAATTCCTTGGCACTGATATGAAGGGGTCTTCATCTACTGAAGGGGAGGATGGATGTTCGTGAGGAGGAATGGAAGTGCGCTGCGTGATATCACCCTCGATGGACAGGGGAGAGGAGGGGTGAGCAGGGCCGGGTTGAGGAGGATTGGCGTAGGCGGGTAGTGGTTTTCGTCGTAGCGGTAACTGAGAGGAAGAGGAGGGCGGGGAAGGAGGAAGGTCGACAGTATCAGAATGATGATAGTCAGGAGTAGAGTTGGTTGCGGGTGAACCGCTAGTCGGGTTGTCGGTGGACGCCATAGCAGGAAGTATCAAAAAATAGCCATGGATCGACGGTCGCTCATACCGGGCCACGGGGGTGGGAAAGGATGGCGCGTGCCAACAGATTGAACCCAAAAGGGGAAAGGATTATTCTTGGAGGAGAGTTGTGACAATCGCAAAGAAAAAGGAGAAAGCCCCCAAACGACGTCCAGGACGATTGGCGCAAAGCGCCCGTGGGTTCCAGACGCCTCGCAGTAGTGCGGGTCGAGGCAGCATGGTGGAGCAGGGGGGCGGACTGGCGCTGCTGCATTCGATTGGTGAGGAATACACTTGCTAGCCTGCCAAGCGATCGACGGTGACAGTGAAGGGAGTGAGTGAAGCTATTCCAGTATCATCAGCATAACAGTAAACAACACAATGTGCAGAATTGTCTGTAGCTGTGGACTGTATACATTCACCAGCTACCAGTTCTGAGTACTCCGTACTATGCTGTCAGACCGTTGTACGGAAATAGAACCGGATTCAATAGTGTGACTGGAGGAACTCCCCCTTGAGTCGTGGATCGTCCAGATAATTCAGGGGTAGCTACGATCATGTATTGTCAGAGGGGGTATGGTAATTTACGGGTACTTTGAAAATAGTGGTTGTTCCCGATAAACAATTGGTACCCAGCTAGTACTTCCCCTGTATTGCCATCTCTCCCCGCCCGACATACGCACTCCGCTCTGCATAGACTGGTAAAATTCCCTGGTCAACCATGGTTCTTCCATCTTGAATATTCCATATCCCCTGCACTATTGCTTACTTTCTATCCATTGCCACTACTCCATAATCTATACTCCCTATCTATCTACTCGTATATCGTCTCCATCTCATGAATATCACCAAACTCAATATCCCCCTCTGCCGCCCTAGATTAAGGGGGCCCCATCAACTCGTCACCACCATGGCATCGAGTATATCGCATGGATCATCAGTGGAGTCCACCCCCTTTTCCCACCTCCCCCCTCAGCCCAGCCCAGCCCAGCCCCAAGAGAACGTGCGTTCTGCAGATGCTCGCCATCCTGATGTGTCTTGTCCCGTCTCACTCGCCAATCACATCCCCCCTTCCCAACTGCTCGTCCGCCAAAGCTCCCCATGTTGGCCCCGGGCGTCTCGCCGAGCTCTCGGGCCAGCGCGTGGCCACGGCCTATCCTGCTCCAACGGGCATGGCGCCACCTCAAAAGGATCGAGACACCTGAGAATCCGGCGCTAAACGGTGTGCGCAATCATACGGCTACAACATCAACGTACCAAATCAATGAGGGGTTCGGGACTTTCTACTCCTCCAGCTCATGCTCATCACTCCTACTTTCTCTATCGGGAAGTACTTGCAGTTCCTACCGCTGGTCATGCTGTTCAGTCTGGCCAACCACCGCTCACCGTGGCTGGACTTGAACCAGACAAGGTTTGAGGAGCCTTCGCCTCGAACCGCTTTACTCCGTACCTGAACCAGAACTTGGGAATAACTACGGAGTAGGCTCCCTGACTCTGAGGAAACTCCCATTTTTAAGACATGGGGTATACAGCACTTTGTGCATGCATCGCCCTCTGTCTCGGGATTGGACTCGCTGAAACCGCGATTGCGTGCATGGCTGGCCTGCCTAACCAATTTTTGGCGATTATCGGGCTCTAGACACTTCTGGACTCGCGTCGCGGCCTCGACAGTTTCTCTCTTTGTTTGTCCTCTATCTCCTCCTGTAAGTCCTCCTTTTTTCCCTTTCTTTTCATTCCCGGCCCGATCGCGCGGTCTCCACTCTGCACTTGCCGTAAACTCTCCTTGGCCTGGCCCCTCCCCACTCCCCTGCTAGCTAAGGCAACGAGCCGACCGCCACGTTCCCACTTCTTTCGGGATTGGAATGTTTGAGGAGTCAATAGTACATTTACCCCCGTACTCCGTATACACTGCGTACATGGCGGTAAGTGTAAAAATAAGTCCGGTTGGGCTTGGCTTGGCTCGCCGTGGCGTGGGCTATCGTCGCACCATCCGCTATATTGACGCCAAATATAACTACCTCCTGCCATCAGCGCGTAGCATAGGGCTGCAGCCAAGGGTCCCCACACCTAGACCCTTGAAGGTAGTACATACTAGGTACTATATATAAAGCTGGGCTTGCTTTGGTTTGGGTTAGGGGTCGCGAATAAAATGCTCACTAGGTCTGGGGCGAGGCTGAGTGACCGAAATAAATTATCGTGGTTCACCCCTGTGCTAATAGATTCGTTTTATGTCTTGGCGTGAATATACTACGTAGAATCCATGGATAGTAGTATGCTTTCGAGCCTTTAACTATGTTTGACCTCTGGTCTTAGAGTACTCCAAGACACAAGTTCTTACTAGTACTAGTAATTAGTAGGCGGGCCTGTGGTGTATGCTTGCGTCGCGTGCCAGGCCAGCTGATTTAAATACTATATTTCTATTCTTGCATTTTAAGGGACTTTAGATCCTAGGACTCGGTTTCTACGCAATTTGGACTTGCCTTTTGAACAAAAAAAAAACATATAGTCCCGAGCTTGGACGTTCTTGCTACTAGTACTTCCACGGATATTTCCCTAACAACGTTGACCTTAGGAGCCCATCCGCTGTGTGAGTCAAGGTACAAAGTTGAACTTAAATTTACAAGAACACTAAAACCCCCAGCAAACACTTCCTCAACTATTATGTATTAACCCGTCCCCGATTTACATGGACCCAGACGAGTGCAAGCAGGCAAGTGCAACATGTGCGGGGGAAAGCTGATATCAAAATCGGGACTTCAACTTGAAGTTCTGAAACATGCGGAAGGAGTGCGTGGAACTGTCTCCTGCTTACTTTCAATCTAAAGTTCCAAGGTTTACTGGGCATGAATATCAGGTGGTTCCTGTCCACGAGGTTCTCTTTTTGACTGTGTCTTACTAGTACTACAAAATGCGGCCAAGCGTGAGTGGCATGCTAATATCCGTAGCCATGATTTTTAATAACGAGTCGTAGTACTAACATCAATATGATCGATACATCGTAACAATAGCTGCGCCGATTCTTCTTACTACGGTGAGCACTTGAATCTCCATCTACTCCATCCACGTCCTGATGATCCACGTCGCTATTGCCCTCGCTATTCACGTCGCTATTCACGTCGCCATTCACGTCGCTATTTACATGTTCATGTCCCACGCCAATCACTCAGGCTAGAAATTCACTCAACAGGTAGCTGCAATGCTCTCCAGGAAAGTAGTCTTTTCTCAGGGGCTCATCCAGTACTTCTGCACATTTCTCGCAATCTAGAGAACTACCCCCATGGGCTTTGGCTAGATGGTTGACCTCCATTAAGCCATCTTCCCGCTCCCATTCGGCATGCGCCTTTTTGAATCGATCATATAGGTCCTTTTCGAAGGTATGGATACTCAACGTGAAGGTAATCAGAGTGGACTTCGTTGCCGCTGAGTATAAAAGTCGAGTTTGCATGTGATTATATTTGTATCAAAATTTGAATATACATATTGGTCAATATCAACATTATAACCGAGTCCGAACTCCACGGTAATAAATTTGAACACATAGATAAATACGCCAAAATAGCCTGCTGTCCTCCACACCCACAATTCAATGAGACTAGTAAATGAGTAGTCAAAGGATATAAACAGAGAGAAAGAAAGAATATGTCCAAAAGCCAATCTTGAAAAACGCCGATCGTCCCACATCACACAACTGAAGCTTCAGTGCACCAGCCGGGGCATCAATAAGGAATAAAGTCGAACTGCATACGGTCTGTATAGCGGGTTAGTGAAATTCTTGATTGAAAAATAATTCTTCGAGCCACATACCAAGAAAGTGACTCCAATCCTCATCCTCATTGACCTTCTTAGCCCAATATTGCTCAAGGAACCTGAGGGACTGCAGAACATTCGGCACGCGAATGGTATCATGCAAAGATGAGAACAAGCTCCTAACCGTGTCACGGTCTTCCCCCTGTGCCTCGCAACCCGCAATAAACAGCGGCGTCGTCAACAAAACCCAAGGACTAAGCCCAGCCGACGGTCCAATCTTTGCCGTGCATTCAAGAATCCGCTGAACAGACTGCTGCACATAAGGAGATGTCGTCGGCGTTTTCCGAAGTCGTCGATGAATCTGAATCAAAGCGCTATGCTGAAACGCCTCATTGCAAAGCGCAAGATGTTGTATACTATCCGGAGACAGCGCATCTGCAACGCCGGGATAAAGCTCGGGCTGTGTACTGGCACCCCGGTCCATCAGGTAGTGTATCGAAGATTCCAGATTTGCAGCTTCGTCTTCGACGCTACTATCAATTTCTCCCTCCACGAACCCCTGTGTATGAGGGTCCTTTTCAATTTGATGACTCCGCCAAGCCGCCGCACCAATCTGTCGAAAAACAGCCGCCAAATCCACCGTAAAGCCCCAATAATCGTCCAGATAATCCGGTAACTCTTTCTGGCCTGGCTGGTTTGTCGGAGCAAAGTCCGAAGTATCGCCAATCGGGGGCCCGTTGCCCGTCAGCGCTGTCAGCGACACGATGGACCAGTACCAGCGATCCAGATAGCGTCGAAACCCATTCTCCGAGCGAAGTGAGTCCTCGCCAGATGCATCGGAGGCCTTCATTAAAGCCCTCGCACCCTCTATATGTGCGCGCCAGGAATTCGGGTTGATAGCGCCGGAGTGGATCTCCGCTAGGCACAGCGTTCGGGCTGTCGCCACCAACGCCTCCGAACCCTTGGAGGACGGGTTTTGCAATTCCTTCCGGAAATGCTCCAGACTGAGTGCCATCAGGCGGGCTATATCGGGGGCAGACTTGACGCTCTCGGATTGATTGTGTAGGGCTTGGATATGGATTGCGGAGAGGGCGGTGGTGGCGTAGAGGAGGGAGGGTGTTTGAAGAGCCATGGGCACGATCATGCGGCAGATATCCTGCTGCATGCCAGAGTGGCAGGCCGTAATCTGCGAGGCATCGTTGATGAAGTGGTGCAGTAAGGACTTTTGATCGTGCGATAGTGAGGAAAAGGGATCGATGGGTTGTGTCAGGGCGAGATCTGACTGTGATTGTGATTGTGATTGTAATTGTAACTGTCCGGCTTGCGCCGACTTGGTGGTGTAGATAAATTCTCCGGGCGAATACTCTGCAAGTTCTCGGTCAGCGCATTCATTCTAGAGGGTGAAAATGGTGTCTTTTGTCGACATACCCAACCTCTGCATGTTCCCAGTATCGACGCAGGCTCCAAATCGTGATCGCGAGAATGCCCGTCCACCCCACTGCAGCTGCATCGCATACTTGCACTGCACGCCGGCGGTCTCGCAGCGACCGCAGATAGGTCGCTTCTCATCACATTTTTGGCGCCGCGCTTTACATCTTGTGCAGCCGGTAAACGATCTCGACATGGGTGCTGCCTCGGGGTGTGCTGGAGAGGCGGATTTGATGTGGTGTGGAGTGGGGGAGAAGAAAATCTGCGGGGAATTTTAGATCTCCGGTCGAGTTCCGCGTGGAGAGTGCCACAGTCAGACCGGCCCGGGGGTAACCAACCACAGGATTATATTCCAAGTTCTGGGGAAATACGCCAGGCTAAGGAGTCTGCGGGAGGACAAAAAAGGACGGGCTAACTTTAGTGTAAGGTTTGACTATCGATTTATTGCCTGGTCTTTTCGTAGAAGGCATTTCCACCAGGGGCTCCACCGATCGACGGACCTTTGATCAGTGAGACATAATGCAAATGTTTCGTTTCTAACTCTGGTTTCATAGAGAAACCTTGGAAACTGGAGAAATACAAGAAAACTGCCCCGAGAGAGAAATAGAAAAGTATGCGCTATGGCAGTAATACAAGGTACATGCCAACAAAGTATATGTTCAGCTCGCCATATTGGAGCAAACCGCAAAATCCCGAAGAAAGAAAAATCACCAATCACACATAGTATAGCATCTAGATCCATCATGCGTCAAAGGTATAACGGAGCCATTCTCCAACAGCCCGCAGACTTTCCCATCGTACTGATTCGTCCTTGTCGGCCATCAATTCCATCACCCGCGCCTTCAGACCCAGCCTCTCGAGCTGCGTACGTCGTTCCGGCAGCTCCTTGACCAAGTGTCCCACATCGTTACAAGCAATAGCAAGAACTTGCTTGTCATTATCCCAGCTCTTTGATAGGATCTCGGCCAATTTCTTGGGCAGGGCCCCGTTGGATTCATCCAGGATCCGGCGCGCATTGTCCTTCCAGAATGTGGGGTTCTTATGCGGGGGCGACCAGCGCAGATGGCCAGACTGGACCTCGGTGGCGTACTGATCAAAGGTAGTCTGTGTCTTGGTGTATTCATCTAGCATGGTGGAGAGCCCAGTAAGATCTTCGAGGAGGTCGGGGTCCGTAAGGTGACGCCCAGCGAGGTTGGTCAGGAGAGCGGGTAGTCGGACAAACACAGCAACGGGGAGGAGAGTTGTGCGGTTGTTGGAGAAGAGGTTGTAAAGGGTGGCAAGGAGCAGTCGGGTCGTCTTCTCCTTGGGTGAGAGACGGAGGAGTTGAGTGTAGAGTTGGATAATCTCGTAGTTCCTAGATGGGCTGTCAGCAATCTAACTTTAGATGAAATTCCTCGAGCGGACTACTTACTCTTGCAGCTCCTCACCGACAAGCTCGCCTTCAAATGTGAGCTGCCACACTACCAGAAGTACACGGTAAAGCAGCTGAAGACCAATTCCGCCTGCCAGGCCAGGCTCAATGCCACGTGTGCTGCTTCCAGATGAGCCACCATTCTCCTTCGTCCCCGCGGCGGTGCGCAGGGTCTGGATCAGAGGATCCAGAGTTTCCTTTCGGTGTGTCCAGAAGATTTCGCGCGAATTCTTCTTGCGGAGGAGCTCCGAAAACCCTTGTACACCGATATCCTGCAGGCCGCTATCTTGGTTCTTGGCCAAGGTAGAAAGATAGACATATAGCTGCGGGAGAGCCTCTTGGTCCCGGGCGGCGGGTTTAGATGATGCGGTCAGGCTGTGCGACACTAATGCCGTAAGGAAAGTAGATGCGAGCAGGGGAATGGGATCTTCGGCATTTGTCGAATGGTGCAGGAATGGTAGGAATGACTTGTACGGTTCGGGGTGCGAGACGAGGGAGTCAGCCAGCGCAGGAACATCTGGATTAAATGAAAGAGGTTAAACATTGGACACCGGCATGAGATAGTATGACTGGGGTGAGCTGGCTATACCTTGGATCAAGTCCGATGCCAACACCAAGATATATTGAACAATGTCGGTCCTCCGCGAAGCCGAGTCCAATACACTTTTTCCCTTTTCACCTCCCGCAAGCAAGCTTGTGTACCCCGGCAGATCTGCCTCTACCGTTTGAATTCGCTGGTCCTTTCGCACCTTGTCCACAGCCTTGATTTTCTTAAGGTGGTCATCGGTGATGTTGCCCGCACGGACAGCGCCGTCCCAGGGAATTGGCCTGGCACGAATATTATTCTGCAGAGAGCTGAGGTAGGTTGGCGGGTCTAACGACATGGTGATTTGAATGAGGCCCGGGGCCAAAGCAGAAGAAGGGTGAGTTGTGCAGTAGTTGTAAGTTCCGAGTCCGTTCTTAGTTTACGAAGAGAAGGGGAGAGCTTGAGGGGATGACGGAAGCACCGCCAAGACTCAACGAGGTCCAGTCAACGCGGCTCCCACCGAATTTCCTCCACTTTCACTCCTCCAGCTCCAACTCCAACTCCAACTCTCTCGCTTTCAGGTTGAGCGCGTTCTGCTTGGTGTTGATCTTCATCTTCCACGCCTTGGGTTCTCCCCACAATAAGGCTTTCCCCTTCGCGCACTCTATCGCTTGTGCGACATTCGTTCTGCAACGTGGTTGTTTGCCTTGTACTTCTAGCTCAACCTCGAATCTTACAATCCTTTGATTTACACCCTCTCGCCTATTCTATCTTGACTCTTGACGCCAATTGAACCCTTCCTCTCTTCGAAAAACAGTTCTCGAACCCTTCAACATTGACCGTGTACTACCCCGCCGATCTCATGCAATCCGAACACGAAGCATTTGCTGCTCAGTAGCCGAATCGTTATTTATTAAACACACCTATTCGTCATGTCACAGGACTCACAAGGCCAGAAGCCGAAATGGGCCATGGGCAATTTCTTCCAACAGGCTGTGGCAGGTGTTGAATCGCGATTGGACAATATCCTGATGGATGAGGAGGAGAGAGCAAAGAATGGACTACCAAAGCCTAAAGAGGGCGAAACTGTCGCACCACAACCGCCAATCTCACGATCTCCTGCTGGCTGTATGAATTTTGCGTCCTGATCAATTACTGTCGCGCTGAGCTAACAGAACACCCAGCAATCTCGCGCAGCTCTTCCAATGCACGCAGAAATGACCGACTCCAGGAGCGCCTGGCACGAGCTGTGGTAAAAAACACTGCGGCCCGAAACTCTCAATCATCACCGAGTGGGTTGTCATCGCCGAATGCAAGCCCTCGCCGAGCACCGATGGACGTCCAAGCTTGGAGATCGACGCAAACATTGCATCTTCCGCCGAAGTCGCCGAGGGGCTCAAAAGCTCCTCAATTGTAGAAGAGGCTGTCGAAGAAGGAGAATCAGCGCTGAATGTTAGCTCCGAAGTAGAGCCGTCTACACGCGAGTCCATAGATGGCGGTGCTGCGGAGACTCTGCCGCGACCTTCTGGCGATACCGGGGGGCGCCCCTCGATTTCAGACATCGCCGATGAACGAACCGCGATTACGGAAGAGGCTGAGGCTCCAAACAACCGTGCATCCGTGGAAAGTCCACGCCCCAGTATAGATGCCCTGTCAGAAATACGCACCGGCGACGGTACACCTGAGTCCCAGCGGCAAGAAGAAATTCATGGATATATTGAACGCATCGATGCATTGCAGTCAAAGCTCAAATACTTGGCCAAAGAAGCTGCCGAATCTGCTAAGAGTGCAGCTGCGTCTGCTTCTCCTGGCAGTGTCGAAAAGCAACTTCTGGAAAAGGATGAGAAAATTGCCTTACTTCTGGAAGAGGGCCAAAAGCTTTCCAAGTCCGAAATGGACCACCGAACTGTTGTCAGGAAGTTGCGTCAGCAGCTGACCGATAATACTAAAGCTCAGACAGAAACCAAGAAAAAATCCGAGAAGATGGAAAGGGACCTGGCTAGTTCAGAAGCGAAGGCGAAACGAGCCGAGGCCGCCGAGAAGAGAGCTAATGACTCGCTGTCTTCGCAAACCAAAGTGGCCAAGGACCTTGAAGCTGTTACGAACGAACGCAATGCACTCAGTCAAACTGTGCAAGAAATGAAGGCACAGCTGAGCCGTGCTGTCTCACGCGCGGAAACGGCCGAGTCTAAGGCCCAGTCAGATGCGTTGGAGCAAGAAAGACGTCGAGCCGACGACCTCGAGGAGGAACTTTCAACTATCAAAATTGAGCGGGACATCAGCGAAGAAAAGACGAAGAAGGAGATTGGCAGCTTGAAAGCAGAGGCAGAACAGGAGAAGGAGCGTGCGCGTATGCTGGAGGCCGAGCTGAAGGGCGAACAATCTGTTTTGGAGAGCAAGATGGAGAGTCTCCGCTCACGCGCAGAAGAGGCCTCATCCGGTGCAACTGGAGAGACCCAAGCCAAGCTCCTACGGCAAATCGAGACGCTCCAGACCCAATATTCTGTCGCTAGTGAAAACTGGCACACCCTTGAGGGATCCCTGCTCGCCCGACTGGCCAGTGTAGAGAAAGAACGCGACGATGTGTCACGGAGAGAAGCTGACCTGCGAAAGAAGATTCGGGACCTAGTAAGATTCTGCATCCGGTCATTGCCCCCCCCCACCTGCAGAATACTAACAATGGTTTTTTTTGCTACAGAACTTAAAGACCAAGAAACTGGAGGAAGATATGGAAACAGCCAAAGAGAACGAACAAGATCTCGAGAGCAAACTAGACGAGCGCATGGAAGAGTTGCAGAAACTGCAACAGAAGCTGGAGAAAACAGCCGATGATCTTTCGTCTAGTCAGAAAGATCTCTCCGAGCAAAAGAAGATTTCAGATGCGACATGGGCACAAAAGCTCGAGGAAGAACGTGCCAGATGGCGAGAACAGGTCAACAGTTTGCAACAGCCTCGAGGCATCTCACCCGTTCCATCTACACGGCGCTCGAGCAATCTTGATGCAGTGCCATCTGGTCTGTTAGACTACCGCCCAACTAGCCGCCGCTCTTCAACAATCCCATCCGCAGCCTCTCCAGATATCGGCACACCCCCGCGCCAAAACTCCTACCCAGCCTCAATCAACCAGGGTGTACTTTCCCCTCCTCTAATCAACACCTCGCTGAACACACCATCCATGATCATGGAAACACCCTCAATTCAATTCGAGCCCGATGAGTACTTTACCGGAGAACCTGCTACTCCCTCCGCATACGGCGGCACGCAAGCCGCCGCATCGCGCGGTATCAACGACATCATATCTGAGTCCACCGTGGGTGCCGGCCCATCTGTCCAATTGGTAGAGCGCATGAGCGCAACAGTCCGCCGGCTGGAAAGTGAGCGCGCCGGGTCCAAGGACGAGCTTCTACGTGTCACCACTCAACGCGATGAAGCTCGGCAGCAGGTCGTTGACCTTATGCGCGAGCTTGAAGAAAAGCAAACTTCTGATACTCGGGTCGAAGAACTTGAGGGCAAGCTTGCTGAAATCGACCAGCGCTACCTGACCACTCTTGAGATGCTCGGCGAGAAGAGCGAGCAGGTCGAGGAGCTTCAGGCCGATATTTCTGATCTGAAGAAGATTTATCGCGAGCTGGTTGATAGTACTATGAAATAGCGGATGCATGTGAAAGGGGGCCTCTTTTTGTTTCTAGACTTAGCTGGCCCCTTCTAATTGCTTGCTCATATGCTTTGTGTGTAATTTATTGGAAAGTTGTATATTGAAAGTTTTCATGACTACGACGATTTACTAGTAGCATTAAATGATGGTATACCTAGTCCATAAATTCGATCTAGGTGTACTAGTAAATCTCGTATATCACCGGGCGGCGAGAACGATGCTTCGGCTCAAGTTGTTTTCCAGGCCCTGTATATGTCTGTGACTACGCACAATTTCAATCCCCTTCTCGTTCTGTCCAACCCGGAAGGTTATCAAGAGCTAACCTCGGTCGAATCACGTACAAACATTGCGCTTTGTGGGGAAGCGTCTAGAAATGTAGAAAAAAAAGTTGACAAGAGTGGGATTCGAACCCACGCCCCGAAAGATTACGGACTTGCATCTTGTACGGTGTACAGTGATACCTAAACCTGTGCGATTGTTAGTAAAGATTCTTTAAAGAAGTTAAGGTAAATGGCAACTCACGTAACGCCTTAGACCACTCGGCCATCTTGCCTGATTACTGTTTGTATTGGCTAACATATTGACTCTAGTAGGTGGGTATTTTATAACAAACTATAAAATCAAGGAGTGCCTACACGCATTAATCTAAACATCATTGAACACTATAGGGGCCCTGATGTGTAAACATGGTTACGGTCTGCTCTGCAGGGGAGTGCCGACGCCTCGCTTCAGGCACCAGTGTGCTGAGTCATTCAAGTTTCGCACCAACTATTTCACCCATCACTACCTTTTACCATGGCCATTGCTCTCCGTGGTTCTAGGGCAATGGGTATGCCAGAAGAGTTTCACGTCAATGTTGGGCGAGTAATGCAATATGGTACAGCCCTTTCTATCCCAATGTTCTTCGGTTCAAAGGGGATGGGTATTCCGATTCCGACGACTTTCCGTACAATGAAATCGACCACCCAGCTGTGAAGCTCCAGGGAGCTTGGAAGACATCAGAACGAAGGAGCTTCGAAAAATTAGAATAGCTTCAGGTTTTTCCGAGGGTCACTTTATCTGCGTACATTCAGGGCAAAAGAAGACAAGAGATAGACCAACAAGCGCACCCAACTCAAAAACTTTTTTTTAAAAAAATAATAGCACGCATACAACATATCAAAACATACAAGAGCGCATGTAGTCATTCACCATACAACTAGAGCCCTCTGTTCCTGTGGTACAAATAAGGAGGAGAAGGTCATGACATTGGTAGTTGGCAACATAACGAGAAATACGAGAAGAAAAACGCTGCGAAAACGTATTGCCACCACCGAACAAGCTCAAATAAATGGAAATGCGAATATTAGCTTCGAATACAGCATCCCGATCAAGGGTCGCTTGGCTCCATTTCACGCTGGTTTGGAGCAGAAACAGTAAGGGTGGGCAGCTTCAAATTCGATCCAGGATAAATTCGATCCGGGATTATTTCCATGGATCATTCGGACAGCCCAGGCATGTTAATCGATGCTTCTCGAACTCATTTTCCTGTAGGCGCTTGTTACAAGGTCGTCTGTACCAGTGCCACGGACTAGAATTTATTCAGGCTCGGACCCCCTCACTCTCGGCGGAGGGGGGGCACCACTGTACATGCAGATTTTGATACCTAGGTATTCAGTGTTGACCAAGCCACTAAATGGCTGCAGTGAGGCGTTTCCGGGAAAACTTTTCTCTCGGAAGCCGTGATCAACTAAAATATTAAATTCGAACCTCCTTGGGCCAATCACCGGTCGGGGTGGTCACAGCATTTTAGTTATGATCCAGCCACATCTTTCATAATCACAAAGCTTAGTGATCATACATACACAGAGGGCTAGCGGCTATTACATAGTACAGCCACGAGGAATCGGAACCGATGTGTGCAGTAGGCGTCGACCGATAATTGCTTCTGATTGGACCAGCAGTCGGCGGTTTGAAAGTTGGCCGGTTCCCTCCGGAGATCGTGTCGTCGCCCCACGTCCACTTGTTGCATTTGGCCATCTCTGCACTTGTCTCGGTTACCGTATCTCTTGGTGTTGTGCTTGAATTATACTGATCAACAAGAGTGAGTGGTCTCGTTTTAATTTCCGTGGCTATAATGCACCGATCGGAATTTCGACGTCACGATCCATCGGGCGGGACAAGATCTCAAAAAAGACCAATCGCGTCAGTACTCCAGTGCAGTCATATATAACTAATACCACTAAATCATTACTCATCCTTTATCCAGTTGCCATCGGTGTCATTCGCAAAAGGTCAAATGCTCCGGCGAAAAGCCATGCTCGCGATGCCGAAGAGCTGGCTATGCAGCTCAGTGTCGCTATGCAAACCGCGATCGTAAGATTCGGGTTGACGAAAGGTGCCGCACAAGATTCATTATCTAGTAAGCTTCATATTGAGAAAATTCTAACTTGAGAATTATAGCTACTTGGAACAGCTTATCCAAGATAGCCAAGAACTTCAAGATCAACAGACACGCCGAGCTCATGGGCAACCTGCTCCTTCAAGTTCCCTCGAGCAAACGATGAACTTGAATGATCCTCCCCGACAATCCGAGAATGTAAGCCCCATTATTCACGACGATCACGCAGTGGGAGAGACTCCATGGTTCCAAAGCCTTGGTAGCTCGGCTCTACCATTATACATCAGTGAAGCAGCCTGTACCGCTTTCGCCACTCGTCTTTGCCAGTGCTTGAGCACGACAGATTCGCTAGTGTTTCACTTACCTCGATGGCGATATACTGATGAAAATACCCTGGAGTCACTGTTCAATGCTGAAGTGCAGTGGCCAAGTCTAGTTTATGCCAAGCTATTGGTAAAAACTGCCCTTGGTCATCTAAACCCTGCTTTTCACTTGGTTCTTAGGAAAGAAACGTTGGATGTTCTTCACAACATCTACCAGAGAAAAGAATTTGATGATCCCGGTCTTCAGTGCAAATATTTTGCTTTATTCGCCGTTGGCCAGGCCTTCTCGTCAGTTTATGACACGACAAATTTGAACACGTCCGCCATGCCGGGATCTACGTTCTTCGCTCGGGCAATGAGCCTATTGCAAATCATCCCTGAACGACCCAGTATGAATCACATTGAAAGCATTCTCCTTCTTGTAGGGCTTCCCTTTCTATTTCTTTGTTCTTGTTTCATCCACGGTTGTTCTGACCATCGCAAAGGCATACTTTTGTCAATTTCTTAACCGATTCCACTCTGCATACATTTTGATTGGCAATGCTCTACGACTCAGTCTCAGCCTCGGATTAAATTATAATATTCCTCAAAGTCAAACATTACACCAAGTGGAAAGAGAGCATCGTGTTCGCGTATGGTGGACAATCTATATGCTTGACCGCTTCTGGGGTTCTAAAGCAGGTTTTCCTGTCCAGATTCACGATGACGATGTTCACGTTGATCTACCTTCTAACTTGATCTCTGACGCTTATCCTGAGCATTTCTCAGATAGTGAATATCAAGTGGTAACCATAGATCTTGCCAGAATTATAGGGAATACGACCAGAGAAATATACAGCCGCAAGAAGTCAACCGAAAGCTTTCTCCAGCGTGAGCAGAAATTACTCATTCAGCTGAAGCAATGGGTACAAACGCTCCCAGAAAGTCTCAGACTCAAGGCAGATAGGCCCAATTCGACATATACAGTATTTTTGCACCTTCAATTCAGTTATGTGCGTTTCTCCAATTCCAACCGTCGGCCGCTTTTTTCTATAACTAACTTGACCTATCATAGTGTGTGATATTGGCAATTCGACCTGTATTGCTTAATCTACTCGTTTGTCATATCAAAGATAATTCCTCTCCAACAAATGAGGGAATTACTCCAATCATTGGAGTTTTGAGCGAAGCTTGCATCCACGCTGCGCGGTATTGTTTGAAACTATGCGTCGAAGAATGGACCAGTGGATCAGTGTCATTATTCGGCTACGCTTTTCCAGCCTATTTGTTCTCCTCGGCGTTGGTACTCACCATATCAAGTCTTCTGCCCTTGGGGGATCCCAACGATCTTGTATCGGTCGATATCGCAACTGAGATTTTGAGAGTCCTGAGCGCATCTAATAGCCTAGCGGCCAAGGATCTCTACGAGCACCTTCAGCGAGTTCGTATCTGCTTGAGTCGTCGCATATCTGATGCTGCACTTTCTCCAACAAATGATGAAAATATGCCTCTCATCCCCGATCCGACAGTACGGCAGCCCCTTGAACATCATAGCCCTTCGCCCGTATCCGGGGCGTCAATGGACTACGGAAATTTCCCTATTGAAGAAGTTGCCGATACTCTGAGCCCTTATCTAACGACTGAAATGACCCTGCGAAACCCGTTGATGCAGGACTTCCTTGCCCAATCCAGTTTTGATGTGGGCTCTTTGGACGCACCGGAGATACCGAATGACTTTGACGCGGCCTTTCTTTGGTCAGGCACCATGTGCACAGAATAGATCACGGTTTTATTTTACATAGAAGACATTTATCTTTTTGCACATATATTCATAGTATTTATGGGTCTTCCGACTCATCGGTCGGTATTTTTGAGAATTGCCGGTCGAAAAGTGGGGGAAGGGGAAACCGCCGGTAAGCACGACCGGCCTTTTTCACACTGGCCGTAGTCAGCTACATTCAGATCCACTCAAAGGTCTTGGATGACTGCTAATAAATAGTTTTAACTACTTGAGAGCAACCTGTGTTCCTTCTCTGAAGTATTTTCTTGGCACATCAATGGAGCTTGAACATGAATATTCATTTTTCAAAGTCTCCAAGACTGAAAATGTCTCGGAGGCTGCTCAAAAATATCGAGATCTCCGACTACGAGCGTTGAAAACCTCACCCAGTTCATTTTCGTCCACATATGAGACCGAGGCTGCCTTCTCTGAATCCGACTGGATTGATCGTTTGACAGTACCTGATCGTGAGGTCTTCATATGTGCCGCAACTCCAGTGGTCAGAAATACGACTGCCCCGCCCGTTGAATGGATTGGTCAAGTCACACTACGCGGGCCAATGTCCATGGCCGATTTCGCCTTGCCCACCGAATCTGGGCAAACCGAGTTGAAATCAGACGCAGAAGAAGAACGATGGCAAATGCTAAGTCTATTTACGCTTCCAGAGCACCGTGGAAATGGTCTTGGTGGGAAACTATGCCAGGTGGCGGTCGACTGCTTACGAACTTGGCAATCGTCGCCTAATCAAATACACATCCGTCTCATGGTCAAGCCTGAAAACCACGTCACCGTGAATCTTTACAAACGCCTTGGCTTTGCGACAATTGGAAAATGTACACTTGCTGAAGCACTGAGGGCAAATGGAGATGGCCATCTTTTACCTAAGGAGTTGGCTTCTGCGAAATATTCTCAGCGATCGGGGCTTATTATGTCTATCTTTGTGCACCGTAATTGAGCAATACATTAAACATGGTTCACAAGAATTTTAGTTCATATATATCATTTTAGGCTGTTTAATACAAGAGTATGAATTGGTCGATGCCTGTCCCTCATCCAGATCTCGTATGCTCCAAACTGTGTCTTATACCAGCCCCGCGTCAGCAATACCAGCTAGGTTGCCGTAGTCTAGCCACAATCATTTCTATACAGCTCATCTTCCCCCCCTTCTCTAGTAGCCCTTGGCCTCGCCGGGAGGGAAAAACCCAGTGAAGTAGTCAACCTTTCCAAGAGGAACCCCCTCCTTGCGCAAAATTCCATAGGCGGTCGTGAGGTGGAAGTAAATGTTCGGCAATGCAATGCGATGAGCGTAAACAGCACTGGTAACATCAATTGAGACAGTGGGCGCAATCTTAGTGGGCCCAGCCTTGTCGTAATTCTCGTTGATATAGTTCTTGTCGGCCTCGTTAAGCGACTTCCGCACTGTCTCGATGCGCTCGTGGAATTCAGCGAACGTTAACGGACTACCCTCATAGGTAGTTGGCTCTCGGCCAGACACCTTGGCCGTCAAATTCTCTGTAAACTGAACAACAAGGCGGATCTGATCGGTCAATGGATACATGTCCTCATGCAAACGAGCCTCGGGGAGGGTGCTGGCATTGGGGGCTTTCTCGGCTTGGTGGAGTATATGTGAAAGTGTGTCGAGGATGCGTTGGAGCACCACAATAGTGCCGTCATAGAAAGTGTGGCTCATAGTGAAGATCGGTTGATTGTGTAGGATTTGAATGGAAGATTTTTAGTTAAGAGAAGATTGAAAAGAAGAACGTGGTTTGAAATCCATTGATAAATGTTGTGAGTCTTACCGTTGGGGGCGATGCGCTAGGACTAATGGGGAAACCGTTTCGCCAACCTTTGAGACAGTCTTAAGTAACAGCTTGACACGTCTTTCAGATAGCCAGATGTCCATTTTGTCTATGGTATATCGCTCAGTTCCCACAATCTCTATGTGCTTACTCTAGCTCCTCTCAATATTGCCGCGTATATTCAACATGTGTTCCCGACTAACTAACTATAAATACCTACTAACTTGTAGGTACTAGTAGTATGCATATACTAACTATCACCCGAATAAACACCCCGAGGGGATCCAAGTTTGAAAATTGATATCAGCGGCATCATCGCGCCGCCCGATATGTAAGCGGAAGCCAAGGAAATGGAGGAAGGCCATTTAAATGCCAATTGTCTGATCGAAGACTAAGCTAGAGCCGCCTCATCCGGGCCAGGACATAACTCTGATTGAAGTTCCACCAAGGTCCGATAGGGGAGCTCTAGCATTCCTTGCTGATTTAGCAGTTGACTTCCTGGATATGTATCACTGCAATCGTGGTGATCATCGTCGATGTAATTTTGAGTCCCTCCTACCCAGGAAGAAAATTCAACAACCTTCCTGGTCTACCATGGTGAGTGTGGTTGGAGTATGAAAGGGCATAAACACGATTATTGCTTTTTTAGATCCAGAAACTATAACTGGGGTCGTCTGTTGGGAACGAGCTATACTGTTGCGACGGGAGTTCCAATCTCGGGAGAGCGATTCCGAGGCAGCCTTGACACATCGTTCACTCCCCACCACACTTCGAATAGATGCTCATTGGCGAGCTCATCGGGTTTCTCCTTTGCGAAATTCTGAGGCTATTTTCTGAGTGATGTTCATTAAAATTTGATCCATTGACAGGAATAAGACTATTTTTTCGAGCGACAAAGCTTTGTAAACAACGAGACTAAATCAGCGATGTAACGCTACGGAGGAAGTGTGGGGTAAAGGATAAACAATCCAGTAAACAAACCTCACGGAGATAGTTTCTCCACTGGAAATTTACTCCATTGATACCTGCAGTTCCAAATTAAACATATGTTTTAGACAAGGCATCAGTCCCTTCATCGATCAGCCAATGTCATATAAATCGATCGGACTGTCGTGGTAGCCACAAATCCCAACCACACTCAGGGATGCATTAATTGGCGATAACCGGGAAACTTCCCATCAGAACTAGCACCATGAGACTACGAGGCATTCTCATTGCCGTCATTTTGAGCTTCGGGGTTGATGCTCAAGATGACACACTTGGTCTCAGTAGTGGATATACGTCCTTGTCAACAGCAAATTTTGACGTCAAACTAGTAAAGGACTCTCAGATTCTCGCTTCTCTTAAACCAACTGGAAATGACTTTGACTTCATGCCATTTGACTTCATTTCATACAGAGCGGGAAATGGACAATACCATAATGGTGATATAACCTATCGTTATCGCAAATCTGGAACTACTCCTTGGCTTTCAGGTGATTCGTCAAGCGCAAGGGAAAAGGTGAAAGCAATAGATTCTACAGCACTTGCTGCCGCAGACCTTGCGTCGACATTGCCGAGTCAGTCGCCTCTTCAAGTTATTCGAAAATGGTCAGATGTCGACGGCGATCTAGGTCTATCGTTTACCTTGACAAACCAAGGAAATGCAAGCCTTGAGATTGGAGGTCTCGGATTTCCAACGGAATTCAATAGCATTTTTTCCAATCGCACGGCGGTTGATATGTCGGCTAAATGCTCTTTGGCTGATCCGTATATAGGCTTGGATGCTGGTTATATCCAAGTCATGCCTACAGCTGGAACCGGTGCTGCCTTGATCGTCACCCCACTTTCTAACACGAGCACCCCTTTCGAAGCGTGGAGAAATTTGGATGAGGCCAGCACGGATCCTTTGTACTATGGGAGTCAAACCTACGAGGGTTTTTACGAATGGCAGTCCCATACCAAGGCCTATGCGGAGAACGAATGGGCGGAAGTCACGCCTTGGAATGAGCCAAGTTCTCGGGTCCTTAAGACCGGTGAATCAATCACGTACGGGCTTCGATTTTCTGTTGTCAAGAATGGTATTCGCGGTATACAAAAGGCGGTTCAGTCAACCAACACGCCTCTGGCGATCGGAATCCCGGGCTATATCGTCCCCGCCGATCTCACTGCTCAACTATTTGTGTTTCGCTCTGACATTTCAAAGATTGAATCGAGCGATGACGCGTTCAAGATCACGAAGTCTCAAACGAACTCGTTCGCTCTCACGCCAACGGGGTCTGTTTGGGGTCGAGCCAAAGTGACCATCACGTACAAAGATGGTAAAGTCCAGACTGTGCATTACTTCATCACCGAGTCAGCCCCGGCAGTCATCAGCAGACTCGGCAAGTTCTCAACTACATCCATGTGGTATAACGACCCGACGGACCCCTTCGGGCGATCTCCGTCTGTGATAACATGGGATCACTCCACAGGTGCACAAGTTCTTCAGGAGCCTCGAGTTTGGATATCGGGACTAAGTGATGAGGGTGGTGTGATTTACCTAGCGACCGCAATGAAACAGTTTGGTCTCGCCGATGCGTCGGAAGTAGCCAAACTGGAGCAATTCGCCAACAAAGTGCTGTCCAAGAAGATCCAAAATTCAGACTTCACGGTTCGCAAAAGTATCTTTTTCTACGAGCCCAAACAACTTCCTGGCTACCAGTATGACCAGTCGATCAACTGGGGCAACTGGTGGTCTTGGAACAAGGATGCGTCGTATGCTACAGATCGGGCATACGATTATATTCATGTCATTGGAGCATATTGGGCACTGTATCGTGCGGGGAGAGATAACGATTCCATTTTGAAAGTTCACAATTGGCAGTGGTATCTTGGACAAGCTTATAACACCACTATTGCCTGCTTTGAAACAGACTCAAACGGAGATGGGGTGATAGGTTACTCACGCCTAGGACTGATGGGCGAGACCGTTGTTGGAGAGCTTCTTGCCGATCTTCAGCGCGAAAAATGGTCGGACGAAGCAGACGCCGTAGAAGCCGCGATGAAGCTTCGGGCTGATGCATGGGACTCTCAGGCAGAACCCTTTGGGAGTGAAATGGCATGGGATTCGACAGGCCAGGAAGGAATATACTATTGGAGCAAGTAAGTTATAGCGACCAGGAGATTTTTTTTAAAAGGTTTTCTGACGTTCGACTCAAGCTATTTCAAGTTGACGAATACCGCTACAAAAACCATCAATAGCATCCTGGGATTCATGCCGACAGTGTCACATTGGGGATGGAATGGGAATGCCCGGCGTTATTGGGACTTCATGTGAGCTCCCTTCTAGTTTTCATTTGGCTGGCACTTTTGCTGATCCCCACGCTCTAGTTATGGTGGTAAATTGCAACGCATCGAGCGAATGATTCACCACTATGGATCAGGGCTCAATGCACTTCCTCTTCTCTCTCAATTCCGCCAAGATCCCAAGGACACTTATCTCCTTCGAGTCGGCTATGGAGGTATTACCGGCCCGCTCAGTAACATCCGCGAGGATGGCTCCATGTATAATGGCTTTCACTCATTCCCAGATACCCTTCGCGGCGATGATTATTCTGGGGACTATGGGCCCAATTTCTTGGGCGTCATGCTTGGGTCGGCATCCTATGTCGTTGATGACCCCGATATCGGACTGATAACATATGGAGGAAACATGGCTGTCAGTGGTAGTACTATCACTGTGCACCCACGAGACGCTGTGCGACGACGAGTGTATATCGCTTCAATGGGTATTTATGTCGTCATCAGTGCTGGCCAGATCGACAGGTACTCCTTCGACAAGTCTGACGCAACCTCTCTGCGACTGCATATCGTGTCCGGCCCTGCCAAAGCAATCGATGCGATTATCTGGGTGGAAACCCCCGGGACAAGTGACGATTATGCAGTGATGGGAGAAAACAAGAAGATCCGAGAAGGATGGCAAGTAAAGCTTGGTTATGGGGGTGTGGATGTCACTGTCTCCAAGCAATGATCTAGTCTAAACAACGAGGCTCAATCACTAGTACCCTGTCTTTATTTCTCTCTTGGATTTTTGATCCCTTCATTCGCCGGAATTCCCCCGAACCCAGTACAAGAAACCTTGATTTGTTTCTGTGACATAGTATCGTCAATATCACTCATTCTCTAGCATCTCTTCGCTATCATCATGCCCCTGCAAGGATATTGACAGAGGGTTGTCCCACGGCACATTCGCAATAGGAAATTCCGAACTGGTATTATTTGGAGTCATTATGCAAACAGTAAACAATACTACTGTAAACTTTTTTATGACGTTTCCATGATATATACATACAGTAGACCAAAATATCAGGAAAATCTGGGGTAGCGCGCGGGTGAGATCCCGACCAGTCAGATCGAAGCCGAACTATCACTAGCGTCAAGATCCCTGGATAGCCTGCAGACTCAGCATCATTCCCTTGACCATGATGAGGAGAAGAAGGCAGAGGAATTTGGTGACCGTTATGTACATATGTAGTTACGTTTCTGAAGATTGGGGGCCTAAGCAGACAGGGTCCTGATTTTGGTTCACGATCGCCCATCACGAGGATCATCACAACTGCCCACTCGCGTTCAAAGTATTATCACGATACGTCAGCACGAGAAAAGTTCGATGGTATTCTTGTCGATGCTACGGGGGCCTGCGATGCGCTGTGTTCGCAAAAAGAGGATTCGCATACCCCTGCATGGTAACAGATCGGCAAGGATTTGCCACCACCGCCCTGAAGACCCATAGCCCTATTAACGAATCAGCACACCAGTGCTCCGCGCTGCTTCTGTCCCTACTATGTATTTGGGGAATCCGGGGCTCCATAATCTCCATTTTTGTTTTCGCACAAGTCCTCCAGGCAGTTGAGATCGTCAACGTTTTCCGAGAATCGGCGTTATCGTGGCTATCCCATGTGACCCACCAAGTTCTGAGTCACGATCGCGGCGAGATGGCCGGACGATGAGAACATTGGGGATAATAGCAAAGAGTGAAGGGAATTTTTTAATTTACTTATTTGAGGATACAAATTCAAGTGAAACTTGAAAAAAGATGAAATAAATCATGATTGGCCAGCAAAAAGATTCTCGGTGTGGATTAAATAGATATAGGACAGTAGCTATATACAGGATTCAGTGTTGGTCTATTGGATCGTAAATTTGTCGTGAAGTCATAAGTCGTTATATCGGTCGGATGATGTGTAGTTTTGGTGAACCGAAGAGATGCAATGGTAGTGTGGTAAGGTAGTCCGAGAAGATCATCATGAAGAGTCCGGTTCAGCCAGCACAGGGAGAGACCGTGACACAGCAGAAGTTCTTATTGGAATCCATGCAGTTCTGGCTCTGAACTAGCATGCCACTGTCTGCGTTGGTTTTTGATGGTGGCGTAATCTCAGCAGGGGGTTCGACGACACGGATGACGGTATTCTTCATCATGAGATCTTCTTGGTCATCGGTGGTGTCTAATTCATCTTCGTCGTCGGTTTCCTCAAACTCGAAAGAACTGATGCGGGACTTCATATCGTTCTCTGTCCACTCGACGGAGCCACAATGTAGGCGGAAGTGTGCAACGCAGCGGCGCAGGTTGGGATCGGGAGCGGTAGCTTCCCGAGCCAATTTCTCTTTGGAAATGACCGTGAGTTTATATGGGAGAGCGTTTCGGTTGGCCATTGGGGGCCAGCGTTTATTCGCGTTTCTGAAAGGTTGAAGAGGAACTGCGCGAGCAGGAGACGGCGACTTCGGTTCGGCGCGGGCAATGGTCATCTGGACCGATTGATGTTATAGTTGGGGGTAGATGTGATGTTTTGGTAGAATTGGAGCCGGAGTCAATCGACGGTAGAATTGTCGAGGTTTTCGGTCTATATGGATATAGAAATATGTCACGAAGGTGAAGAGGTGGAAGTTGCGAAAGGGAGTAAAAGAAAATCGAGGAATGTAAAAAAAATGAAGAGCACCCAGACTTATACGGGCGGATCTGCAGCGTGGGGAATGGAATGCAAGCGCCCAGCCCACACAACCTTGGAAGCCCACTTAGCTTCGAGTTGCCGTGTCACCAGGTCCGAGTCTTTCGTCCAAGTTCGGTTCTAGACTCAGCCAACTACAGCCAACGCAGACAACGCAGCAAAAGGGTTCCTCAGCACTGACCAAGTGGCGCCCGGCTTCGGCGGTTTCTCGACACCGCTGGATAATCGAGATCTATCCCTTTATTTATGACTGTGGTATTGTCAAAGTATATTTTTATAGTCTAAAGAATCCCCTCCAAGTTTTTCCAGATCAACTTCTCTTCCTAGAAAAAAATGGTGAATATTTGGGGGTTGTTGATGGTGGTGCATGTGTGGCCGGCTAATCGGCCCTCAGGAGGCAAAGACCGAGTGGAGCCAACCGCGATCAGTTGATGCTTCGAAAAATTTTCTGTGGAGACCCTGCGCTGTAGCTTATCTGTTCTCCGACCGCCTAAAAACAGAACGGTCGCACGGGGAAACTCACGATCTCCACGGATTACCGTGTCAGGAAATCCGAACCCCCCTCACCCTTTGAACAACTCACATCCAGAACGTTGAATTTGACGGTTACCAACTCATCTATCTAGACCAAATTATTACTTTTACATCTAATTTATGCCCTTTCTCAATGTTCTCTAACCCTAGATCCCCACTCGAAGCTCTTGAAACTCAGCAGTGACTCAGCAACCCAAGAGGCAGGAATGCCGAGCTTCAGTTCCACTGCATGATTATTAAGAACATTCAGCATTCCCCTTTCTCCGCGCTTTCCGGGGCTCTGACGGCTTCTGGAATGGCCGTGAACGGCCCGACTACTCGTTGTACGCATTTCACACCCGATTATTCCATCTCCATTGGCTCTATACTACTGAATACCCCCAGCTGTCGCAACGCCTCGTCACACCTGCTTCGATCTTTGCAGTCAACAATTGACGATCCCCCACTTGAGTCGGTCTGAAAGCAGCCACCGACGGTGGAATGGGGCGGATTCCTTCCCTCGAACAAAAGGAGACCCGCTTAAGACTTTTTCAGCCAAGCATCGTCAAACCTTGGAACGCTACCTTTTTTTAAAGTGGACCGCGTGGATCAAAGTGCATGTAATCGGCGACACGCCTAAATGGCGTGCTCGGATATTTCATCCAGAGTCCAATTGGAAATATCGACATTGTACGAGTACGGAGATGAAAGTACTACTCGTAGTGGACAAAGGCAAAATGTATTTCAATTATGATGCCAATTTCGAATTGCGGTGCGAGCCGGGTTGATAACTTCAAGGTATCACCGCAACGAATAAACAAAAAGGGGCTATTTACACTACGCGAGCAGGGAAGCTCACTAGCGCTTCGCGAGACCTGTGTTTAGCAAGAAATTGATATCTTCAGCCGGAGCAAGCACCTCGAACTTGCGAAGCAAACATAAGTTATTTGGAACCTACCGAAAGCATCGAAAATAAATCTATAACGGAACAATAACATATCGTGAGTATAAAATCGACAACGCAGCGTGTCACCCCAGTGAGGCTAAATTCCAGATGATGAACTCGAAAGAATTCGAAGAAGACAGGATGCTAGCACCGTAAAGGTAAATTTCCAAATCTGGCAGCTTTTTTTTTGCTGTTTGGTTTATTATGATATGATCTCCATCATCTATGCTCCTACTCATGGTATCCTTCTGTTAACCATCAATATGCCTAACACGGTAGAACTATTCTGCAGGGGTCTTTTTCTCTTGGCTAGAGCTTTCTTAGAGCTCAATACTACATCCTGACTCGCCAGCTAGTTAGTCTATACTAATATTACTAGAAACCAAAAGCCGCACGGACTCAATCCTAGTAATGATCCGGCTCGGAGGAAGCTATGTGACAATGTAATTCATTTTATCGTTGTTCCGGTCGATGAACCAGCCGGAGCGCTTACTCCATACTGGCTCTGGCGTTTATCGCTATGACCGTCAAGATAAACGAACAGCTTTCATCCACGTCAGACATGGCTGAATATGCAGGTATATTGTTATGTCTAGACCGGTCGGGGCACAGACATGTGGCTTGGTGCTGAGTCTCGATGCGTACAGGCGTGGATGGCGAATAATCCTAGATTTTAACATCTTGGAATAGAATCGCGGTACATTCTCACTAGTATCTATAAATTGCAAGTCAGATCAGTATTCTGCGCATTGTCGCGGGAATTTGTATGCTAACAACTGGTCGTCACTACGGTGTATCCATGGATATTACCATGGTAAGCCTCAGTATAGTCGGCCCCAGCACATACCCCGCAATGCCCATCAGACAATCTGATAAACCCAAACATGCAAAAGCAAATGTTCTGCATTCTTAAGATGCGAAGTTTAACTATTTTCACAAAGTACGAGGGCAAAAGTGAATTCACAATTTTATGGCTTAGACTCTGCGCACTAACATGCTCTCCAACCGGCTTAACCCCCCATCAACCACAACTCCAATGTCAACTCCACTCCAAGATTCCTCACATTCCAGTTCCCAACGGACACTACTGCACATCACCGGATGACTTCTCAAACCCACCGGTTTCCATCTCGATCTATTGGTCATGAGCTCAAACCGCCCCGTGCGCGATCAAAACGCACGTCGCTTCCCGGCTCCAGCTGCAGCCTGAAACATTCCTGGTGCCCACTAATGCACGAACACGGCCAACGAGCACTGTGATGATAGCCCAGGAGGGGTAATGAAGACATTATTCTCTTCAGACCACCCTGGACGCGCGGCATCGAACCTGGAAAGATTGTCAGTCACCGGGTCGAAAAGAACATACCCCTGGCTCGTTCCACCTATTTGGTGAGCGTTTACTGTTTTTCAAAGCCAATCCTCCGAGCCCACTATCGGATGTAAGAACTCAATCCGTTGTCTCGGGGTCGAGGCCTCGTTACGATTCGGACTGAAAGAGTCTCATCGTTACATCCAGGAATGGAAATGGAAAGTACTACTGTGATAATTTTATCTCACATATTTGAT